ATCCAAGAATTAAACTTCTAAAGGGAATGAACTGCTATTCAATACCTGAAAATATGTGCTGAGGCATCTCTAAAAAATGCAACCACATGACCGTCTGCTTCCATGGCCAGAATTCCAGTCCTATGGTAATTCGATCCTTGTGACACTTCCATGAGATAATTCAGTAAGGTTGGGAAGCCATGCAAAGCAAACAGTAATATTTGACATTTGACTTCCATGTATATTCTTTCACTTTCATAGGTTTCTAGGATAAAAGTTAAAGACTGATGCATGAAGAATAGAAAGATGTTTTGATATACTACTGTCTAGTACTTTTTCCTCTGGAATTGCACCATGTAAAACAGTTTTCTGTATAAAAATACCACTGACAAATTTGGTCAGCTTTAAGCAAGCATCTAATGTGTGTAGCAACCACAGTTTGAAATATTAACTTAGAGCTTAAAAAGACACTCAATAATAGGTGTGCAATTTTAAAGATTCCTGGTTTGTAAGTAGTCACTTTCACGGGAGCCGGTCCTGACTCCCGTAAAGTGCGTTGTTTAGGACCCCGTGCGGACGGTACCATCCGGAAGTGTCTGGAGAAGCACATCAGGGAAGAGACAGCAAGGTTGGGTCGGGTCGACAGACACGGGGTGGTGACGGTGGTGATCCGGTGCATAGGGAAAGGCCGAGGCGACAAATCCTGTAAAGCCCAGAGGGATAATTAATGCACAGTCCAATGTCCATCCGAGGCTAACACAGGAACAAGGAAGTAGGAACATGGAAGGGCAAAACCATAACGGAGCCAGACACTCCGAGCCCCGGACTCAGATGGTCAGGACGCCGTGATGAAGCCTATGCTGTCGGGTCTCTCCCGGCCCCGTTGGTAGGCGGGCTTCCGGGCGTCCATCCTCCAGATGCTGAGCCCTGAACTTCGGAGCTACGGGGTTTAAATAGTAAAAGGAAAAGCCTGGACAGGTGTACGTAAAAACAAAACTAAAATGCAAAAGGTTCGATAGACAGATGACAATGGCCTGAGAGTTTTCAATGTTTGGATCCAATAAATTTCAAAAGAGGATTCTACCAGCTTCGCTTTCTTTAGATAAAGATATGATCTGATGTCCTTGGGTCTCACAGTGTATGTCCACTTTTCTCTGGTGAAATCGAGAGTTTATGTTGTACTGCAAATTATTTAATTTAGAAAGGAAACATTTTCTATCCACAATTACAGTAATAAAACAACAGCCCAAACTTTCCCACCCCTTGAAAGAAAAAAATATATTAGATAAATTCAAGAAAGAGAAAATAAATTGCTCGTGATTGAAGAATGAGGTGAGCTTCACCAGCTGTACCTTTAGTGTGCAGCCCTCATGCTAGCACTCTGAGTGGCATTTGAAATCTTTCAACAATATATTTTAGAGCTATTAGAATAATACTGCAAAAACCAGATGGGCTGCAGGTTACTTTATTTTGGAATAAACAAAGATGGGTATTCTATTCATTTTTAATAATTATTAATTGGGAACATTATTATTTAAGTTACCTAGTTAATGAGAAGCTCATACAGTAGGATACTGATTTAAACACTCAGAAGGTTTGTGGCAAATTAAATTCCCCCTGAAGGTTTTCCACACGCTGGGGGTCACTGTCGCTGATCCCAGGGCCTCACAGAGTGTTATGAGCTGTATAATAGAGAGACTGCAAAGAAACAGGCCCACCTGGTGCGCCTGCTATGAGTGGAAGTAATTATAGAGGCCAACTGCCCTTGACAAGGGGTTCCCATGGATACACCTGCTATGTCATCCCCCGCCACAGTTCACTTAAAAACACAAGAAGAGAAACACAGACAACATCTGCTGCCATTCTGTAAATAACCAAGACATTGATACGGTACCACCTAATAGATATGGTACCGGTCTCCTAAACTAGAGATTGTGGGTTCAAGTCTCTATCTGGGGTGACGGTATTCTTTGGGGAAGCAGGGTGTCTGGAAGAAGCTGCTCAGCTCAATGTTGAACCTGATGCCCAATCTTTGTTTAAGAAATGGATAAATCAGCTCCTCTTATCAGTTGGCTACTGAAACCTGAATGAGCTTCTCTTTGGCAATTTTCCTTAGTATTAATGGAAATCATTCTGCATATTATGTAAAGTCCTTTCTCTTTTTTTCGGAGAAAAGAACCCACAGATTTCAGAGTCATCAAGGTTTATGGCGATAATCTGCAATTTTTTATTTGCAGTGTGCACTCACCTACAGTATTTGTTTAATCATACTGTGTATTCTGTGAGATCTTCTCATCAGTATCCACCTTCAACATCTCTCACCCCACTATGTACTTTTTTGTATTTTTGAAAAGTACAAAAGATACAAAGTCTTTCTGTGTCATCTATGTTCATTTTTTTTAATTAAGACTTTATTTAAATCTGTAACTACTGTACTTGCTGTGACCTGTTACAGTCATCTAAGTGGAATTAATCAATTATTTTTTTACACATCTTTCCAAATAAACTAGCAGTATTTGTCTTCCTGTCAGTTTAAATAGAAAGCTGCAGATGTTTGATGTGGAAAACAGTTTTGGAATGGCCGGGATCACAATGTGTTGCTGCATTAGGCTGTCTGACAATTGGTTAGCTGTCATAAGAGAAGACAAAAAGAGGTAGTTTAGTCAGGTAGTTTTAGATTTAATTAAAGTACAGTAACTATTACTGAAAAGTAATGTTCTTCAAAGAGGAGCCACGAATTAGTCTTGTTTATCTTTTGTGCTTGCATAAAGCCAACATTAAAGTGAGCAAAAAGGGTATAATTTATTTAAATACAAGTCAACGTAAGTTAATTAGCGTTTTGCTTTAGTTTTTAGATGGGGTGCGGCTGAAGACACAAACAACTCATTGATTCTTTGAAGAGAGCCTTTCAGCTTCCTATGACACACAATGTTTAAAATAATTGTCAATTGATTGAGGAAACAGTGGCAGAACTTGGGATGTTGGGAGTTTTTTTTTCAAATTAAATTAGAAGTTGTTCCACCACCATTTAAATTTCAAGATGGCGTTTTGAAAGAAAAACAGCAAACAGAGGCACTGTAAAATGCAGAAGGCCAAAAAGAAAAATGTTGCAATTGCTTCAAGCTTCCGATCATTAGCTGCTGTGTGTGTGAGAGAGAAAAGATTATGTAAGAGTTAATTGATTCAGTAGTCGATAAAAGTTGTCACACAGCCATTTCATTTATGAGATAAATATAGATACTATTTTAATATCACCTTTTTCCTGTTTGATTCTATGTTTGTTTTCTTTAAACCTCAAGGAATATATATATATATAAGAGGTGAAGGGGGAGCTGGAATAGTTTATGAATTTCAAGTCTGTTTGATTCAAACTGTGTCTAAACTAAAGCCAACGTGTGTATTTGCAATTATGTAACCTCCTCCCTAATACTGGTGCACTTCGTCGAGACTTGTTGTTTCAAATTCTGACGCCGCCACGTATACAGAGGGGGAGAGCTGTCATAATTACGATTCCTCTTTTTCTGCATTTGGTTCTGCTTAATGTATATGTTAAAGCCAGAAAGGGAAGAACCCGTGCCACGTTGCAGGATCCTTTTTTCATCATTTTTTTCATTCTTATCCAGATGTTTTTCTTCATTCGTGCTCAGTACAAAGTGAAGAAGGCATTAGTAATCTATCCAGAAACATCATCGGTAAAGTGCTCTACTCTACCATGAAACTGGATTCTGAAAAAGCATCTTTCCTGATTAAAAAGGCCAGTTTTATGAGCGTGCATCCTGGAACACATCTAGGAGCAGAGAGCAGAGAAGATCCATTAATTATAGCAGTGCCAACAGGTTTAGTTTCTATAACACTTTAGGCATTTTTGCTTTTAAATATACAAGACTCAGATATTACACTTTTGTGTCATATGCTTCTAGGTGGATGTTGGTGGAGTTACAGGAATAGTATACTGTATGATCAGCAGCAGTACTCTTGAGCAACAGCCCTGCACAAAACAGCATTTACACAAACAAAATATTTCATTTTTTGTACCAGTGATTAACTCATCAACCACGCCTTCTGGAGTCAGAAACATAGGAGAGATCTAAAGAACAACAAAGTTTAAACATGAACCGCACGTCCAGATTCAGTAAAAATTGTATTGAACAAGGGATCAACTGGGCTTGTATTGTACCAAAGTAGCTGGAAACACTTACTCTTGTGACATTGTTAAAGAAGCCAACACCTACTGAAGGGAGGGACACTATTGTTGGGCCTTTTGCTTCTGCATAAAATGTACAGTTGTAAAGATAGAAGATTGCATATTAAATGAGTCTTGAAGCACTTATTCTGTCACAAGGAAGGATTCCCACACCAAATATAACAGTGACCCAGACTCAAATACTTCTTTACTTACTTTTTGTATTAAACTTCTTTACTGTTTAATACAAAGGCTACCCAATGACTGTGAATGATGTTAACTGTGAGCTGAAAACTGTATGTTAAAAAAGTTTGTAGACAGGAGCTTATTTCTATTTTAGCTTTTTTTTAAAACACAATTTTATTCAATTTACCACACAATCAACCAATATGTACACCTACAGGAAAATACGAATTCTCAAAACAAATGACATCTGACAGAAGGTTTAGAAAGAGATATGTTTTCATTGTGGGTTAAGATTGACATTGAAGCAATATTATGTCTTGCCTTTTACCATGGATTCAAGCTTGCACAGATACACTTAAAACAAGTTTGAGCAACAAGGAGAAAACGAAAAACAATACCTCCCTGTGCTGTTGGTTTCTACACACAGTCATTTGCAAACATGTAATGGAAGCTGGCATCATCCTGTACCATGGCTTCCTGAGCTGGAAGCACTGAGGCGATTTGATTACTTATGCCTTTCATAAAAACATTTCTAAAAAAGTATAACAAGTCCTTTTCTTGGCCAGAGAGGAGGAGACAGGCCTGAGAACAGGGAGTTAAGTTTGGGACAGCCCACCGTAGCACTAGCACAAAGGGGGGCTTCCCAAACGGACCTGCCCACTGCTAACTTCTTCTCAGTGAGCTCCCGAATCCGTTAGATTCTCCCAGGCCCTCAGACAGCCTACTGCTCCCCTGGCTTTGCTGCTCGACGCAATTTAGGTAAGAGGATTCAAACGTATCTTTTTCACTTACATTTGTTTTCTTCTACACGCATGCCTTATGCCTTTTCTTTTAAAACAGAACATTGGGTTTCATGTTATGAAACCCAAATACCTTGGAGTTCATAGTTAGATATATTATGTACATGCTGTAGTTGGATATACTAGAGTATGTCACTAAGTGGACATAAAACAATTGGAATTATAACTTTTTAGCTTTTCATCCTGATTGCCAAAGTGTATTACTAAATAGCCTTGTTGTGATTTGTTATTCTCCACATTTTCCCAGAGGAATTCCATTGAATTCCTTTGCTTTTGAACCAGAGTATGTATAGTCCACTATAATGTTGTTAAAAATGCATTTTTCCAAAACTGAAATGTAATGCAAAGTAATGCATTCTTCTTCCTTGCACACAGTACATCAGCCTGTGCTAGAAAATCTTCTATTGATTTGTATTTGTTAATGTTTGTCTTTAGAATGCTGTGAGAATAATTTAATTACTTCACCAACCTGATTTGAAGGTTTCATTTTAATACACAGACAGGATGCTGGATGCATGTTTAGGATATTTAAAGGTGCACAACACAAAACATTTAATATTTGACAGATATTTGTGGATTTGTTTCTTTACTTGTTCCTGTTTTCTGAAATAACATTGAAAAAAATTAAAACAAGCATCAATCTAATAAATATTGAGAGCACAGTAACCTCGCTCTGACACTGGACAATCAAAGGGATACACAATCACAGAACAAAACACTGGTAACACAATATGTTGTGCAGCCATTGTATGCCACATAGGCAGAGGGGGTGGGGTCCTGGGATTTGTGGAAAAGTGCCTCAGACTCTGAAAGAAAGCCCTTCCTCTTTGAATAAACCCCTCCTCATTACTCACACCAAATGGAATGCGAGTTGCCATAGTAGTCTTTTTTGGCCATCACCAGGGTGTACAAGGCTTTGCAGATGTCTGTAGGCTTCCTTCAGGCTGAGAGACACTTCTAATTTTTTTCAACTTTGGAGCAATAGGTACTGTATATCGTGTGTGTTTACAGAGGCACTTTATCTTCTTCCTTCATCTTGCATCAGTTTCATAAATTTAAACAATAACCTTTCACAGGAAATAAATGTTATTTTTAATTTCAGAGTATTTTCATCGGTGTACTGGTGTTAAAGTCGGTGTTCAAGGTGTTAAACAGCCTTAATTTGGTGTCTACAGCTGTTGCTGCCTATTGTTTCCAATACATGTGAATTGGACCAAATCCAAAAGAATACAATTAAATATATATATTTTAAAAAACATGTTCTCCCTATCTTTCAGACGCTGCATTAGTTTTTCTACTATCTTTATAGCGAATCACTTTGGATTATTCTTAATGTCTTTGGAGGTGGTTCACAAAGTTTTTTTTTCCAGTTTTTGAGGACTTGAATTGCCAGTTTGGAACTGTTCCATTCACTGCAGTAAAATAATAAAAATATAAAAATACATTATCATGGGGAGACTGGGGCTTTTAGACATAGATACAGTATATGATTCTCCAGTTAAACAGAATGGAAAAGAAAATGAACTGAAATTGAATCCTGTGCAATACAAGTGGCAGTAAAGGTAGCATTGAGTTGAAGAAAATATGGATGTCATTTTGAAACTTTCAGAAAAGAAACTGTTGAATCTGTCATTTATCAGGTAATGACATTAATTAAACAAAAAGGTTATTAGGACATTTCATCTCTCCCAGTTCAGTTCAAAGCAGCTGCCTCTCTTCATTTTCCCTGACTAAAAGAAACTTGGAAAGACTGGTATAGAACCCACTCCAAATCTCAGAGAAAAGATTCCAAGCTTGACAGATCTTAACTTTTGAAAAGGTAAATCAGGGACAGAAAAAAGCTTCTCACTTGGCACAAAACCTGTTTCTTTTTCACAGCTGAATTTCCAAGTAGAATAAATTAAATTTAAATGTGCTGCTCACAACAGCTCCTGAGCCCTTCAACAGACAAGGGAGAATTAGGAATAGGGAAAGAAACAGCTGTCAGACACATCTCAAGAAGCAAATTTAGGTAAAAATGACTTTTTAAAAAAGAAAGGTTGGGTGGCTCAGCATTCTGGTTCCTTGGTTACTGCAGCACATTAAATGTTTTTTTTATCTTTTATAAATGCAACATTAATCTAAATTGAGCAGAATAATATGTTTTTAAAAAGACATATACACAGTAGTATAAATACTAAATTAGAACTTTTTTATCTACTCTGAAGGTTTATAAAGAAAGCTCAAGTATAGTAAATAGGACATCATAAATAATATAAGCTTTTTAAACATTACAGCTCAAAAGTAGTTTATAGAAGAATGAGTGATCAGCATTTATCTTTAAGTCTGACATAAATGATGATGATAAATGCATGATATGCAAGTAGATAATGTTAAATTCTGAGCTTCATAATACTCCACTGATTTGGTTTGCTGTTCGCTGACCTGTTATTTGTTAAAGAACTGAGAATCTTGCCATTCAGAACACAAACATCACATGATTAAGTGGTTTATTATTTTCTTACCAACTTTAGCTAGTTGTCACATAAACCCTTTCAAGAATGTTCACTGAAATAAAGAGAAATAATTTAATGAATTCATGAAACAACAACAAAACTGGGCACTCTTGAGAACGACTAAAAACTGTGATTTTGTTTTTGCTGTTGTTTTGAAGTGGGTTTTCAAAGTGTGAGGAAAAGTACTTTTTATGTTTTTATTCCAATTTTTCATGCTTATTACACCAGTAGTTATTCTACTCCAGTAAACAATCAGTTTAGTAGGAAACAAAGGAACAGGTAGAGGGTTTATTCCAGCTGAAAAGAAAAGAAAGGAAACACAATGTTTCGGCTGTGGAGCCTTCTTCAGGTGTAAGAAACATATTGTTTACAAAATATTCTCAGCCACCTGCACCTTAGCTCAATGAAAATGATTTTTCTGATAGCTTAATCTCAAGAGTGTGAAGGAAGAATAAATTCAGAATTACTGAAATCACTACAAATTATTTTTTATTTTTATTTTCAAGTACAAAAGAAGTAATTTCCTGCTCTAAAATATGACTTAATATGGTACAATATGTCTGCCATACCATTCTAAGATATTTTGTAGGCTTAGTACACATTTAAAAGATATAATCAGGCTTCATGCACTAAGTTATTTTAAAATTTTATTTTATTTACAGTATGTGAGAAATAAGTCATGAACACGTACATCACATTGTGAACACCGCAGTGGCAATTAAAAATTAAGGGTTTGTATTTCCATGACATAGATGCATTATGAGTATTTAAAGAAAAGCACATGAAAATAATTATTACTAGTACAAGAATGCAAGCAGAGCAAAATATCTAGTGCCAATCCTATGTTTTATTTTCAGTACAGCAATTATTTCATTAGAACAAATCACTTAACTAGCACAATAATGAATCACATTAATCAACTATCTATAATGATCCCTTTACAACTCTGGCAGATATTTAACGTGACCTAAATTCACAATGAACAAAAATGGTAGATTACCCTAGTGAAAAGCATATTGTAATGGTACATTTTGGCTTAAAACACATTTAAAATCATATGAAAAATAAAAACACAAGCACAGGATCAGGAAAACCACAACAACAAGGTAATCAGATTCTAATAGGCCGAGATGACAGCTTCTGGTAGTGTGGTGCACACAGATGTTAGTGTAATTAGGAAAAGAGGGCCTTTTTCCAGGATAATGTGATATTTAAACAAGTGGTATATTAGTTTTAACATGGAATTCTGGACCTCAATGGGAAATACAGAGTTGAAGAGTATCCGCCAAAATCAGTTATCCCTCTGGAGGTAAACATTTAGTACATGAACCCTAACCCTTCTGGAACTTTCTGATTGCAGGTATTAAAGTTGTCTCAAAAGAAAGACAGTACTGTACTGGCCCTGCTACTCTGTTCATGCCCCTTAGTCTGTTACATAAGGAATCTCCAAAATAAATATCCAGGGAAAAGGACTTCATTTAGCCTTTAAAGTTTTTTCGTACACCAGCCCTGTTTGATTATACCCGTTTCCTTCCAAATACATTAATTTCTGGACAGTTACGTAACTCCCCTTTAGGTAGTGCTGTTACTGACGAGGTGACTACAGGAGCAAAATGAACTTCCAAGTTAAATACAGACATTGCTGGGGACGATGCCATGTGCTGAGGCACACATCACCTGGTAAAACGGAGGCTGTTTTTCAAGACTGAAAATGAAATAACACCTTTCTTATTTATTTATTTTTTGGAGGAGAAAGAGAGGATTCCTTGTGTGTAACGTCGGAAACGTCACACATGGTGGTGTCTGCCAGGACTCGGTGTACTTTTCCACATTGAGTTCCATCAGAGTCAAAAGCCTAGCTGACCTCAAGTTGGGAGCCTAGCCTTTTCTTCACCATCCAAGGAAAACACGGAAGAGAGAAAAAAGTTGCTGGTGCTATGCCTTCTCATTAGTCCTGCCAAAAATCACAGGGAAATTAAATGCTGTCTAGCTCTGAACTCTTCGATGCAGCGGCATTAGAGCTTGGAGAAGTGAAGTCTTGTGTTGTGCCACGTCTACACAAAAATGACCATCTGCCTGTTTTTTTTTAATTACTCTGATTTTATTTGTGCCACAGTAGTAAGTGCAAACAATTTACATTCAAATAAGAGTATTACATCATGGTATAATGAGATTTGGAGTTTTACAGCATATCGTGAAAGGAGGATAGTTTGTGTTAAAATGCCTCATGGGTCTATGCTGGCTATGTATGAACCGTCATGGCCTACAGGTTTTATTTTTCTTCAGAGTTATGACAGAAGAGTTCTGGCCATTCTCCCGGAGAAGCTTCTTCCCACAGTTAGTAGCACCGTGAAAAGCAGGCGTGGCAAAAGCAATGCAAGAGAGGAGCAGGCTAGCGGATCTCTGCTCCTTCTTTGACTCCAGCATTCTGAGCTTTTCTTTCCTGGGGGTGAGGGCAGGACAGGTTAAAGAGCAGCCAGCAGTCTGTGAGTCATATGGTGTACATGACATGACTCCTTCACCCTGTTTTTTTTTTTTTACTCAAGACAGATATTAGTGAGAAATAATGTGGTAATATTAATGTGAAAAAAAATAAAATACATCCTTTAGACACCTGAGAAGTACAGGTATGATTAAAAACAAGGAGGCATTCTTGCCTGGAACAAGACTCACTGACAGGAAGAGATCATTTGAAATAGAATACTTTTCCACACAGGTTGTTTATTGAGACAGAAGGCTGAAAGGTTGATTGCAGATAGCAGCAGAAAGGTTCTTACATTTGAATGAAATGTCTTATCAAAAGCGGAAGCCCTCTGAAAGATAACTAAGGTGGAAGTGCTGATTATGAATACATGCAACTGAAACATTTGTATCAAGGACTAAACGAACAGAGACTTTTGAGCAGGAATTATATAAATCAATAGCTCACATGTACCTGCATTTTGAAATATTGCTAGTATTACAATGTAGTTACACTTTTCGGTACATAATTTAAGTTGCACATACTAATACTACAACTATTTTATGTAAATACATGTCTTTCACATTGAATGTGTCACACATTTACACTGTAATAAAAGTGCAAATGCACAGTAATCAGAGTACCTGTATTTTTTAAATCTATCCATTTAAACGGATTGGTAAATCTGATAAGAAACATTACAGATGGGAGGGGCTTATCAGATCTTCCATTTGGTCACAGTGCTCACAATATCACTGGTTGTTACAAAGACAATCCATTTTAAGGTGCTTAAGTTCATATTTTCTTGATTTAATTCTGCATAATGCAAAGTGTTTTGATCAAAGAGGCTAATCGGTCATTCACAAAACAAAACTATACATTTAATGGAATACAAATTGAGGCTAAAGGATGATAGACAAGATGTTGCAGTTCCAGAGCTCTGATTGATGGTAAATACTGCTGACAGGCTTAAGCTGTAACATTCTTGAACTGAAGTCTAAGTCTACATCTGGATCCCCTCTGGTTGACTGTGTTTGTATGAATGTCAGTGAATTAATTCACTGTATCTCATCTGCATGTTATTGCAAAGATTCCTTGGGTTAAGTACAGTGATCCTGAAATCTTCCATGCCCAGATTTGTAGTTGTAGAGTCAGTGGAGAAAGAATGTGGGAGGACTTGTCTACAACATGATATGAAGGATGTGAGAGTAAGTTGTGGTAGTGATAATAACTGTCACTGTTCTCATTTATCAATGAAGCCCTGAGCCACGCCATACTTACATGTCCACTTGAATGACATAGCGAATGTTGTAGCCTCATGCTTCGTTTTCTTGTTTCCAAAAATGATTTGGAAGAAAATAAGAGATACAAAATACCAGATGTTCTTCGGGGTATTATTACATTTTTTATCAATAGGCAAGCTTGGAAAAATATATATTCGTAAAAGAATATTCTATGCTGCACGCTTTTGCACATTGACAGAGTTCTATACTTAAATGTATTCTGTTATCTTCAAACAGCGGTGGCTTTGTCTGATTTGCTGTTCTTGTCTCTTGCCAGGTTGAGTCAGAAAATGCAGGTGTGGATCGTTTTCCTCCTGTGCCTGGCCGGCAAGGCCCTGGCTGCTCCTGTGAGTTTATGTTGCGTTTCTTTTTCTTTTTCTAACCCCACACCCCCCCCCAACAGCGCATTTCCAAGTTTTCCGAGGCGTTGACCCGACGCGAATATCGACTGTTAAGGTCAATGAAAGGAAGAGGTGCTGGGAAAGCACGGGTTTGACTTATTTGGCTCCGACTTTGCAGTATGTCGCTGAGTGTTTCTTAATATTACAACACAAGTCCAGGATTACAAAACTGAGAATTGTGGAACTAGAGTGCTACCCAACACAGTAAGGTCAATCAGTGGTTATATTCTTTATATATATATATTCTTTATAGTGCAGGACCCAGTCTGTAATGCTGTTATACATTTCTAACACAATTTACTGATCCTAGGCAGATCTTATCAAGTCCTGTTCCCAAAATCGTGAACATTATACATCCCCTCTTCTCAGCACTGTGACGTCAGTTTCAAATTTCATGAGATGTAATAAATGTGTACGGTTCTTCAGCATTGATTTTAAAAGATGTACAGTACTTACAAATAAATTTAGCTATCCTCAGCCTTAACCCACTGCAGTATTCCAGGAATTGAAAAAGACTGTCAAGTTCCTTCGCTACATTCTCTAATGGTGGTTGTCAACAGTATTTAATTTTTCTTCTATGGAGATTTATGTCTTAGAGACAGATATTCTTTAAAAATGTGATTTAGGGTTCGATGAAAAGGTAATTGCTAACTGTGATTTTTTTTTCTTTCTCAGGCTGAAGAGGGACCAGTCATTGATGAGGTGACTAATAAAATGCACGTTTAAAGAATTCAAAACCAGACTGATGAGCTTCTCCCATTCAATACATGCTCTACATTATGTTTATATATGAATATGCCACTATGCCACAGCATGTTTGCAGTAGGGGACAATAGCTATGTACATTCGATGCCATAGCAATGCAAATTCAGTAGCTTGAAACAAGTCATAACAAAGACCTTGAGTACTGTACAAACATTTGCCTTTCTTAAGTTGTTACCAGTATGATCCATCAGCAAAATCTCAGCTTTGAATGAAGTTGGTATCTAGTTCCAGAAAAGAACGTGGTCTTAAATGTTGTGCATTTCAGTTTTCTCTTTATTTTATTTTTTTACTGGAACTATCAGCTTGATATGTAATGAAAATATTTTTCTGCAGTTCTTTCAAAGTTCTTTTATCTACCCTGTGCCAGAACTGACGCACATTTTACAGAGAGGGGCTGTAAATCCAACAAATTAGAATTAAAAGCTCATCTTTCTGGGATTTTGAACCAAAGTCTGTATTTTTAATATTTTTCTAGAATCACTTCTAGCATTCCCTTAAAAATATAAATTACTGTATGTGTTGTCTGTTTTAATGTATATACTGTATATACACTGCTACTTAATATTTGTATTCACTGCAATGTAATATAAAGATATATAATCATATGTGTATAACCTCCTTGTCAAAAAATGTTTATCTTGTTTTGTGTTTGTGAATATATGTTAAGTCTGTCAATTACATACAGACGTTATGATCATTCTATATTGCTGTTTCCCACTGTTAAAGCATTCCTCTATTCCCATAACTCTTTCCCATTTACCCAAAAATATTTTTTCCAGATGTGTTAGTATGTGCAAGTGTATAGTTTATAGAGGCCCCATAAGGGAGTCCAATAGAAATTTCACTTTATTTGATCCTTGTACACAATGCTACATATGTTACAAATTATATTAATACAATTATTTTATTAATCTTACTTAAAGATTTTTTATAAAATCATAACATAAAAAGCTTGTTAAATTTTAGGTTAGCAATGTTACACTTTCTTTTGCAATTCATTTAATCAATCAATCAATCATCATAGATTCTTCTTAAGCTGAAACTCTTTTTTTCTTGATGACATTATAATGAACTACAAGTATAGTTGAAAAATGCTTAATGAAGTGAAACAAAATACAAGAGTGTAGATACAACAGTGGTCTCTAGAAAGCACAAGATGCTGTATGTCAACAGAAAACAAAAACATAAAGAATAAGCCAGTTGTGGTTGGATATTTCTTTTCTCTGCTGTTACCTCAGTGTTGTTGATTGGTTTCTTCAGGAGATGGAAGTGGGCGCCAATCCTGTCCAGGTTGAGACTGGAGAATTCGATGAGGCCATTGAGGTTGTAGAGGATGTTGCTGCAGAGAGTGAGTTTGTGAACTCTACAAAAAACAATGTCTAATTCTGACAAATATTGTTGTTTAGATGAGTGTCAGTTTTATTTTAGTTATCTTGCCTCTAAAAGCATACTATGACCTGTGAAATATATTCCTGCATTCCATGGAAGATAAGATATCTTACTTGTCTCATTTTTATAAACACTACAATTCTGTGAAAGTGTAGCCTAACTTTTGGGATGTGATATGTTTATTAGAGTTTTAAACTTACATAAAATAATCCACTGTCTCATAATTTTAATATTCCTGAGGTAAATTTCATAGTTAAATCTACCTCCAGAGGCAAATTTGATAAATAGGATAGTTTCTTTTGTTCTCTGTGCGCATGCTTTAGAAGTAAAAAAATATTTTTGCAGAATGTTTGCTAAATTTTCCAATCACATACGTTCTAACTGGAGTAGACGGTTTACAGGGGAAGCATATGCTTTGCAGCCACTGAAACATCTGCACAGTTTAACTGTTAGTTAAATGCTAAATTTAAACTTGGTGGTGCACAAGAAACACTTTTAGCTTTTGTAATAACAGAGTCTATCACAAAGCAGACAGCTGTAATTATGTCTTCTGCTATGTCATAAAGCCATACTAAATAAAGAGTCCTTAGAGAAGAGAACACATTTAGCCACGTATTATTTTTTATGAAGACACAACTGACACACAAGTGCATATCTTTCGTAGACTATAGAAAGCACTCCTTAAAAAATCTTTAAGAGACAATGCATATAGGTATACGGGCAGAAGCAGTAGGACGAAAAAGTTTTCTGTACTCTCTTAACCTCAGTGGCTGTGAGGTAGGAGGCTTTAAGGAAATACATATTTAGTTTAGCACTTCCTGTGTGTCCTTTTGCTGTTTTTGCTTACACTACCATCTTACAGATCCTTGCCTCAACCACCACTGCAAGAAAGGCAAGGTGTGTGAGGTGGATGAAAACAACACACCAGTGTGTGTCTGCCAGGATCCCTCAACCTGCCCATCCTCTGTGGGAGAGTTTGAGCATGTGAGTACCATCCCAGCCCATGGTCTGAAGCTCGAAAGGACTCATAATGCATAGATACAATGACCAGTCAAATAAGGCTCAACTAGTTTTTTTTCAGACAAAATCCTAGGACTTAGTGGGTTAGGTGGAATCGTAATTCTAGACGTTAAGAGCAAGGTGGTACTTTTTCTTGGCGAACGTCCCCGAGCAATTCGAGGAAGCTCCCAAATGACCAACTCACGTCATGTGTCTGTCCAGTTTTCCCCAAGCTTGTATATATATATATTTTTCATTTTAAAAACCATGTTTAAATGGCAAGCATCCAGAGCTGTGGTTGGCTGACCATCCTACCAAAGAATTAGTAGTTTTCTCGTCTACTCACTCAAAAGATAGTAAGACTTGTTCTAAAATGTGCTGTCTGTCACAAAACAACTGCCACAATGCTTTGATTGACACATTTAATTTCCTAGGTATTAGTAGAAAGGTGAGACAATAGCTGATCTATTTAATTGGGTATTGTGTTGGAGTTTTTAGTCTATATTTGCCCTCTTCACAGGTTTGCGGCACTGACAACAAGACCTATGACTCCTCTTGCCACTTCTTCGCCACCAAGTGCACTTTGGAGGGCACCAAGAAGGGACACAAACTTCACCTGGACTACATCGGACCCTGCAAATGTATGTACTGTCACCTTAGCTCTGCTGCCAAACAAGACATAGAGCTACATAAACACAGGAGCAAGAACTTTTCCTGAAATTCCAGATCTTTTTTTTTTTGTTTCGCAAAGCCTGGTCACATTCTTCTCAGGCTCAGCTCTTTACCAGGGCCCAGCGAGCAGCTGTTTTTCGTGATTGATGTGCCAGACGCCAAGGCTCCAGTCACAAGTCTGAACATGTAGCTCATGGAGAATGGAACAGGTTACAGCTCATCCCCCATCAATCAAGCTCATATTCATAGGACTAAACTCTTCTCTAGAACAGTTTAGGGCCTAAAGGAGTGGCTGGAGCTTAACAACCCAAAATGTGATTTCTGTGCAAAAGAAAAGAAAAGCTTTTAGCAGTGGTGAGTTATGATATAGATAAGAAATGTCATACGGAGGGAAATGTATCTCATCTGCAGCCTTTTCTTGGCTGTACAGTGCTGGCTTGGTGCCATGCTATGCATGCTTTAATAATTGCATTCTGGCTACAAACAATGAGGAGTTTATGCCTCTGGATTGTTTCTTTAGAAACTGTTTTTCTTTGTTTTTATTGAACAACAGAAATTAGTTGTGGTTTGGTAAGCAGCTTGTGCCAGAGGCGTTTGATAAACCTCACACTTTTCATACAAAATGCACTTAACTTAATAGGACAGGTTATTTCTAATACTGGATTAAACTAAAATATTTTTTGTTTTACACTGAATTATCACTAAACATGAAACAGAATGCTACCCTGTGGTTTACTAATGGCTCAAGTAATAAAGTTTTTTTCATTCCATTTAGATAAGAATTGTTTTACTTAGTAGTTAATGCTAACTTCTTTTTAAACTTTGCTTAAGTAACATATAAATGTTAAATGTTAAAGCCTGGTGTTTTGCTTCATGATCTTGGCTCTTAACTTGTGCCCTGTGTTGGTTGATTCACATTAATTAAATTGGTGCTTGGCAATTCTTATTGTCTCCTCCTGGAACTTTGTTGCAGACATTGCTCCCTGCCTGGATAACGAGCTGAACGAGTTCCCCCTTCGCATGAGGGACTGGTTGAAAAACGTTCTGGTCACCCTCTATGAGCGCGATGAGGAGAACAACCTGCTCACAGAGAAGCAGAAGCTCAGAGTGAGTCACCCTTTCACATTCGCATGGGGCTCCTTCTTTCCCTCTGTCTCCTTCTCTGGGCTCCTCAAGTGCTCTCTCAGCTCCATCTTCGTGGATTTGACATTGCCTTATTGAACAATCGACTGTTGCTGGCCGCAGGCCATGTTGAAGGAGATGGACTCTCTCCAGGCTGCGCTGTAGTACCACACAAAGCCTGGAACAGGCCTTTGCTATCTGAATTTCCCCAGGAATAAAGCATGAACAGAAATGAGAATCACACTGAAAATAATTAGCCTTTTTAAAAAAATATATAATCCTCTGCATAATTATTCTAAAATCTCCCTATTCTTAACTAAAAAGGGCTGTCTGCTACTAAGAAAGTGAGCTGATGTCAGGCACAAGAAATAGGTGCATTACTAAAAAAAAAGAATACTTGTATACAGTCTACAAAATATCAGTCTCTAAACATAATGAATATCACTTCTGAGAAAGCCCTGTTATCATACTTCCTATTGTGTGCCAAAGCTTTTGTTTAGGGAATAAATGCAGGATATAAGCGAACATGTACTGGCAATGTATGTGCACTCAGTTCCTTGCCTTGCTGTCTGTGCTGCTGAGCAGGTGAAGAAAATCTATGAAAATGAGAAGAGACTGCATGCTGGTGAACACTCCCTGGACCTGCTGGCCCATGACTTCGAGAAGAACTACAACATGTACATCTTCCCCGTTCACTGGCAGTTCGGCCAGCTCGACCAGCATCCCGTTGATGGGTATGTAGCACTTTTTACAGTCAAAATAGTCAGGTTGATAAGTTTAAGTAATATGTGCAAAAAGGCAGCATGGAAAATTGTAAGACAGCTCCATCTACTGTAGCATTGTGATGAGACACAGAGCCAAGCAATATTCATGACCTTAATCTATGTATACAGAAAAATATAACTTTTATACTCAGTCAGAAAAGTAAAAAAATCTGCATTACTCCTTTTTTCACTGCCATAACATCATTTGAATACAATGAATGAAATATAAATGAATGAAATGAATGAAATTTTCCTCAGCCTTATGCTCTGTGCATACGATTGCTCCTTAACATCAGCTTTTCTATGTTTGTGCTCAGAGAAAAAAAAGTCTGCGTAATAAAGGCGAACAATAGCTTCAAAAGCAATGTTTGTCTTTATAATTCCAGATACCTGTCCCACACTGAACTGGCCCCCCTGCGTGCCCCACTTATCCCAATGGAGCACTGCACAACTCGGTTTTTCAGCCAGTGTGATGTTGACAATGACAAATACATTGCCCTAGATGAATGGGCTTCCTGCTTTGGCCTCAAGGAGCGTGAGTACCCTTCAGGAAACAGCCTGTTTTCTTTTTCTTTGACACTTTTCAAAATGGAAAAGATACATATCGCTGTAAACCCTGTAAAATTTATGAGAAACGCTTTCCTGTTTCTAAATCTTTTTTATACCATTGGTCTGAGTGAGTATCCCGTCCATACAGATGCCCAGTTTTAAATGTTTGAAGCTTCAGTGAATTGGCCAGGAATGTCTGGCAGGCATTTATATAAAAAAAAACATTTGGTTACACCTAAAATTGAGATAAATGAAGGCTTAATTATAAACAATAAAATTGTGGTCTGTTAGAATGTTAATAAACCATCCATAGATATTCAGTGGTTGAACCCAACAGTGCCAAAGTTGGTTAAATTAGGATCAGATTTAACTTTAGTTTTAGGGTAAGGGTTAGATTTAAGTTAAGGCAAATATGAACGATACTGTGTATCTATGGATGCTTCATTAGCATTCTAAAGAGCCTCAATTTATAATATATCATAAATGGAACATCTACTAAACTGTTTATGTTACATCTTGATTCTAAAAAATCAGCGATCACTTTTGTTGTATAAAATCCTACAAGATATACAAGATATATGTATGAATAGTTATAAAAAGGACAGTAAAAGTGAAGAACTGCCTTTGACGCTAGATCTCTGTTCTTTTTTTTCAGAGGACATTGACAAGGATCTTGTCATCTAAACTGAGTTCATCACTGACTCTTCTCTTTCTTCATCGGGACAAGGTGCTAACCCATAGATTTTGAAAACATAATAACGGTGCTAATGCCATTCTCTATCAACCTACCTATACCACTAAAAAACAACATAAAAACAAGCACACTTTGAAGTACAACTCACAGAAAAAAAGCAAATCATTTTCCATTTGTGTCCTTTTGTTATGTCTCTGAAAAGACAGTAGAGTAAATTTATTTCTCAAATGTAACCTATTGCCAATTAACCTTATGATAAAAGTCAGAGGTAGAGACTGCTGTTTAGTCAGGTGGATGCTGGATAAAGTTGGACTGTAGGACCATGTATGTTGGGAAGGGTATGTGATGAATGTTTTGCATTTTAATATCGGATGATGTTTTTTACTTAATCAGGGCTTGAATTTAATTTCAATTTGGCATCTGTTAGGAAAAAAAATGTAAAACTAAAATAAAAGTTTCTTAATAAATATTCTTTTCTCTTGCTTTTAGAACTTTTTATTGTTTTTGCTTATTGTACTTTGTGGTGGTGGTATCACAGACTTTGTTACTTCGTTATAATTTAGCTTTTAAATTCGAGCCCTGCCCAGTGTGAGTGTATCAAGACAAAATGTTTCCTTTTACATCGAAGGGCAAATGTTGAGTGTTTTAAAAATTCTTAAAATAATTTTTTCTTTGAACAAAATGAGGATGGAATCTTGCAGGTTGAGAATATTTCTGCCTCTGAAATGTTCACTTACTTTTGACCTTGCCACAGTGTGAGCATTCTACGTCTCTACATGAATAAAAAATATTAAAAGTCACCCAAAGCCTTTGCATGCATTTTAAATTTCAACATTGTCTTTCACCCTTTTTGAAACATTAGATACAAATATTAACAGTGCACATCTCTACATTTTTAAGTCTAATGGCAACACAACACCATTTCTACCATGTTAAAATAAATTTATGGATTGCATAATATTTGCTTGCATTTATGGAGGAAAAAACTAACCAGAAAAGCTTTTTAAAATACTCTTTGTTTTATATTATTTCAATAATAAAGTGAATATTCATTGTCTATATGAACTCACACACGTATTACCATTTCAATATAATTTAGTGTTACCACAAGTTTTGTATCATAAATCTACATGCCTTTTTTTAAATACTGTGCAAAACTTTCATATTTGCCTCATGATAAAATATAATAAAGAGCAGCAGCTGAAGTAATTACTCCGATTTTTATTAGAGGGTTTTTGAAGTTGTTATAAAAATAACATAACTCTAAAAAGCTGGAAGTGCTTAGTATTTCAGACTCAAATATTAATTCTTGGTCTGAAACATGAACAACTAACTGTTGAGATGACCATTTAGACTTTTTTTTTGGTGGAATAGCTTATTGCAAGACAATAAAAAATTAACACAATAAAGCTACTTAAAGTGGTAAATTATCCTGATTTTTTTTATCACATGCACAAATCAAAACTGCCAAGAAGACACAGATTGTAAAAAGAGATGGTGACAGAGAAATAGAAAACATAAGGCTTGAATTTTACTGAGGTTGAACGTGAATCCTGGGTAATGTCATTCTAGGCTCTGTTTGTGTATTGGTTTTATATGACCTGTAATTGGAGGTTTTCTGAAATGCTGTAATCTCAAGGTTATTTTAATGGCTGGAAGTCTTTTGCACGATCCCTAATGCTGTGCTCAAATGAAGCTGAAGCAACATGTGGCTTTTGTATTTCACTGATTCATTGGAATCAATTGCAAATAACTGCAGCAAGCATCCAGATGTATTCTTCACTGTGATTCAGGTGACATTTGTCTGAAAATCAGTGCAACGAATCTCATAAAAATCAGTCCCTTCAAACAGATATCCCCTGTGTAATTCTTGATTATCTTTCTAGAACTAGAATCTGTTTTCATGATCCAGCTCACCCCAGCTCATATTTAATAAATGTTACTGTTACACCTTCCTAAGGCATCTTTCTAGGCTTTCAACGTAATAGTTTTCTACTTCTGTTGCCGAACAAAAACAATCACATTGCAAATAAACAAATGTTTTTTTTTTAATTATTATTATAAGGCTCGTGCTTCCATCAACAGCACGTAAAGTAAACATTTCAGTTTTGTGCGTGACTGGGGCTCCTTCTGAGTTGTGAGTACTTGAGAAATTCCATCTCCCACTAAAACTGCGTGACAGCTCATAAACACACGATCTTCAGGGGCATCCAGTAGAGAATCTACAGCTTCTGCACACTGACATGTGGTACCTAGTTTTGATACTAAGAGATCTGTGACAAACAAGAGCTGCTCTGAAAGATGGTATTGAAGCGAATCGTAAACAGCAGGTTTGTTTCAGTGATGTTCCCATAGCAATGCTTCCTGTTATTTTTGCCAAAATGGGTGTCTTTAAAAGTCACATTTTTATCTAAGTGTGGAAACCATCAAAAAGTGTTCAAAACGAGTAAAGCAGTCTTGTTATTGAGATTAAACTAAATTTCCCGAGTCTTCCACTGATTTCCAGTTCAAATTTATTTTTTAAAAAAAAGTTGATTTAAAAAAGACTGTAAGAAGTTGATGCATAATTTTAAATAATTTTTGATATACGAGATGTACCAAAATCCAACAATCTTGTGAAATTAAAGAATTTCATTTTAATTTGTATTACTATAATTCTATCATTTATAATTCTTAATAATGCTAAGTAGACTTCATTTACATTTAAAATCGATTTGGTCGTGCTTCATGTGAAATTGAATAAATTAAGGTTTCACAGATATTCCATTAGTCATAAATCACAAATATGAACTGAGACGTTAATAGATTTATTGGTGTTCTCGAAGCTTTTGCCCCCTTGAGGAGAATTTTCTTCAGCTAAGGAGACACTGTAGCTGTTTTTCACCCACTCACAGGTGCTCATTATTGGACGGAGTCCGGAACACACGAACTCTGTGGATTTCAGCTGCTGTGGCAAACAGGCCCCTCCCGCGTGCTGCCGTGCCCCGGGACCTCCCTGTTACCAGCTGCGCCTTCGCAGCCTGGCGCTCGAGCCAGGAACGCGAAACACCGCGTGCGGTTGCCAGAGCGACGAGCAGCAGCAGCAGCAGCCCCACCCAGGGAAACCAGGCCGCTTCCAGAAATGAACCAGGACGCCAAACCGGACCTGCACCACCCTCTGCACTTTAAAAGCAATCGCTAGGAAGGATCAGACGTATACAAAAAGTAAACAAAATCAGTACAGATTCAATTAGAAATGCGGGTTTTCTGAAGCTAAAGGGGTTAATTTCTCGTTTGGAAACCACTTTTTTTTGAGGGGGGGGGGTATTTTAAATGTTTATATAATCCATCTGCTTTAGCCGCAGATAAGACAAATTCAACCTCCTTGAATCGGTAAGGAAATATTTCTTATTGTAAGTCAGGAATCGCGTTTAAAAAAAAAAACACAACAAAATCAGATATTTGCAGTCCTGCAGCTGTGCACTGACATTTCGTCATGGTCCCGAAAAAAAAAAACCGATTACAGAGAATTCCAACGGCATTCCAGCTGTCTGCGCTGGCTGAAATGATGGGAAACGTTTTGTGTGTTCTGTTGGCGAAACCGAGCTATTCCAGCTTTTTTCACATCTTGGGATATTGTTCTCAATGCAAAGACAACTAGCTTTTCCACAGAGAATAATGAATCTGGCCAAGACTTGCTGTGAACTGCCCTGCAAATTTAATAGTTCTCGGGAATAGAATTAAGCAATTGTTTTCCTTTGACTCTTTCAGCATTTCAAGAAGAATGCCAATATATATCACACAAATATACAAGTATTAAACTAAGATCATACCTTTTCCACTAGCGGGGGGATAGGAAGCCCTTAATATTTTGATCTTTTCCACTTGGCAACAAACACATCCACAGGAATGTCTGCCATGGACCGCTTCAAAATTTAATTTACATCACATTACCGTGGCACTAATTAACTTCAAGGGGAGAGAATGTTGCCAAGTGGAAGTGAAGAAGCAGAGTTATATGTATAATTTTTCACAGTCGTATGGCCGGTCTTATACAGAACCAGCTACTTTTGAATGAATTTATTTATCATTCTAAATCAGGGATCTGCTGTCCTGGTCCTGAACAGCCTTAGTCAAGCAAATTATACCGTCCTGTTCGCATGTTACTGTCTCCCGTGTAAGCAACTGATTAATCCAATTAAGCCTTTCGCAGCTCAGATACGAAAGAAAACACTGATTTTCTGTCAATCAGGATATGAGACCCCTATTTCAAACAAATGTTGTTAATGACATTTAAAATACTGTACTAATACAGACATACGGAGGGAGTCATCACCAGCAGCCATATCACCCTGCAACTCACAACTGGCAACCCACTGAAGCTAAGCAGGTGTGAGCCTGGTCAGTACCTGGATAGGAGACCTCCTGGGAAAAACTAAGGTTGCTGCTGGAAGAGGTGTTAGTGGGGCCAGCAGGGGGTGCTCACCCTGCGGCCAATGTGGGTCCTAATGCCCCAGTATAGTGATGGGACACTGTACTCTAAACAGGCGCTGTTCTTCGGATGAGTTGTAAAACTGAGGTCCTGACTCTCTGTGGTCATTAAAAATCCCAGGGTGCTTCTTGAAAAGAGTAGGGGTGTAACCCCGGCGTCCTGGCCAAATTTCCCATTGGCCCTTCCCAATCCTGGCCTAATAATCCCCCTCTATGAATTGGCTTCATCACTCTGCTCTCCTCCCCACTGATGGCTGATGTGTGGTGAGCGTTCTGGTGCACTATGGCTGCCGTCGCATCATCCAGGTGGATACTGCACATTGGTGGTGGTGGAGGGGAGTCTTTGAGTGGAGTGTCCAGAAAAGCGCTATATAAGTGTAAGCAATTGTTATTATTTAAATTAAAACTAGACCGGATTCTGAATACTTTGAAGTGACAATAGGTTTCAAAACTTTCGGATCAAAAAATGGTGTACCCTGCCCTCTGCTGGACAGTCTATGATACAATTACTGTAGTTACACTGATGCTCCTTGGATCTGCCCTGCACTTACATATTACTCTTTTGCTGTTTATTTCTTGCTGTTGATACAAGAGTCATCCTCAAATAAAACAGAATATCCATTTTCTGCCTGCTTCATCCAATTCAGGGTCAGCAGGGAAGCCAGAACATCATATAACCATGTATCATCTAATAATGTCCATGTCAGAAATGCCTCCTATAACATTAGAAGGATTAAATGCCCCCCTTTCAAAACTCAGTATTAGAGGTATAACAGCTCTTGCATTCATAATGCATTCCTTGTCAAGGAAATATCCACAACACGCACAGGCTGAGGAAAAACTAAAACCTATATAAAAAGGTATCAGCATCAAAGAGGTGGGAGTGTTACTAGAAGTTAAGATGAAGAGATTTTAATGTCTTGTTGGAATTCCACCAATTGTACGATATTATTAAATGAGAGATATTATTTATAGACTTAACAAGCCTTTGAACGGCTGCTCAAGACATATCAACTGGATGGAAAATTGCTAATATAGCACATTTCGCCAAAAAGGGAGAAAAAAACGGACTCAAGTAGTTGTAGGCCAATAGTGTCAGTTACTGTATGTAGACAGTATGTAACTCAAAAATGCCACTTTGACGACACTTTGTAGTCAACTACGCCGCCTTGCAATTTTAAGGGTGCTAGGGGCCTTTTTCCAGATTCTTTATATCTCTCAGAACTATCAGTGTACCCATAATCCAGGTAGGTGTAATTATCAGACATAATTGCTCCTTTTATTTCTAACGTTCTAGCAGTTACAATACCTATCACTGCCCACCCGACACACAGAACACATGACACAGAGTCTCCACAAGGTACCCTAATACTCACAGAGACACATGAACTCCACAGACCCCAGTTACCCAAACCCAATATCCCGAAAGAGAAGTCCAGAAACAGCTCTTTCCAGTACACTGGCATGCGGCATTCAGCCACAGAGGAGAAACTCTGTAGTCTTTCAGTGGTTTTAGGCTTCCTCTTCAGTCCAGTTGACCAGACCAATGTGGTGAAGATGATGGCTGAGTCTTCCTCTACTGCTCAACTCTGCAGTGTTTGAATCCTCCAAATTCTTCTCTATTTTCCCCATGAGTCTTCCTGAATGAAGCTTGCATTGTGATGATGTTATGATGTTACCTCAGTGTCCTGGCCTGGCCAAATTTCCCATTGGCCTTTACCAGTCTTGGTCTCCTAATAATCCCCATCTCTGAATTGGCTTCATCACTCTGTTCACTTCCCCACTGAGAGCTGGTGTGTGGTGAACGTACTGGTGCACTCTGGCTGCTGTCACATCATCCAGGTGGGGCTGCACACTGGTGGAAGGGGAGGGGAGTCCCCATTACCTGTAAAGCACTTTCAGTGGAGTGTCAGAAAAGTGCTATATAAGTGTAAGGAATTATAATAATAATAATAATAATAATAATAATAATAATAATAATAATAATTATTATTATTATTTTTATTATTATTAACACAGGATCCATTATGATGGAAGGAAGTGTTCTTGTGGGGTGGTGTGTTGGCTGTGTGTCTAAGGATCTGTACCTGTGGCTGGAAGGTTGCCGGTTTGTATCTCGTGGCCGGCAGAGGAATTCCTACTTTATTGGACCCCTGAGCAAGGCCCTTAACCCCAACTACTCCAGGGGCGCCGCAGAAATGGCTGACCCCGCGCTCTGACCCCAAGCTTCTCTTTCTATGTGTCTGTGTGTCTCATGGAGAGCAAATCGGGGTATACGAAAAGACAAATTCCTTTTCCTTTTCTTGACAAAGTCAACATGGACTTAGAAAGGGTACAGTGGGTTACGTTTTTTTGAGATCTTTGAGGAAGAAACAGAAGTACTGCATATGATTAGAGAATATGATATGGTGTATTTTGGGGACCAGAAAACAGAACTAGCTGTATATTTGGAAAAGAAAACTCAACACTCAAGTTGAATGTGTTTAATCAAATGTTTTAAACATAGATGTGAGACAAAATCACAGGAAGTGAAGTCAATCAAGTAAAACTATTATCATTCTTTCAGTATTACGCATGCCATACTGTACTGTCAAAACTAAAAGATTCCAAAACTGGATAATGGTGTGTACAGACACAATTGTAGTAGTAGAACAAAGACTGTTGCAATTGCACTGAGTAAATGAAAATCACTGTCATTGTTTATAACTTTTATTGATTGTTGCATTGTAAAAGGCCTTCAATTGTATCAATTGGAAAGTATGCAAATATAATTAAAGGTGAATGCAATTGATGATTAATCGGATTACATTTGAATTTCGATACGTAGACTAAACTGCAACGACCACAAACCCAGGCACACGCATTCATCCATTTTCTCATTTGGTTTGCCCATCACATCTAGCGTGTTCAAGTTAGTGGTCACCTAAACAAAAAAACTCCCGCCTCTATCGGCACAGGGCTTCCCGGGGCTTTTCACAGGGGCCTCTTGTAATACAGCACTCCCTCTTTAGGCGAAAGCCCCAATCCTTGAACGGTTGGCCAGGAAAGGGACAAACCATTGCCCACAACACCCGCTTATCAAGCGAACAAGCCTGCCCCTCTCGCCTGCTTGCTTCCTTACAACGCCAATCTACTGCAGACGTCCTGTACGTATGCGTTTCCGCCGACTCTGATAGGCTGGCGCAGCTGCGGGCGAAGGCAAAGCCCCTTCCGCCTTCCGCGGGTCTTGGCCAATGGAGAAAGGCCATCGAACGCGAATTCCGACCGCAATTGGCTAGAAGTGTTCGTCTGTCGGATGTCTTCTCTTCGATTGGCTGCGCGAATCGCAAGGCTAAACTCTGATTGGCCTGTAACATACTGGGACGGGAGTCAGGTTAGGGTGTCACCCGAAGGCATTTGAAGAAGCCGGTTGAGCACGCCGTGAGGCCGCCAGAATATTTCTAGCTACAGGGTGAGAGTCGTGGTGAATATATACATTTTCAAGTAAACTACGGCTTAGCCTTTGTTATAAGATACCTGTTCAGGTATGTTGGATACATTTTATTCAAATGTAGATTTTTTTTTGTTTTAGTGGTGTCGTTTGGTCACCTTTTAAAATCTTGCTGTGGTGTAGGGCTGGTTAGTGCCGGGGAAGACCTTATTTCGATGGAAAAAAGCAGAGGTTGATAGGATATTGGCGGTGCCAGGTTCCATGCTGTTAATATTAGGTGTTTTATGTCGAGTATTAATGAGTCATGAGAAAGGCCGGTCGAGTAATGGCTACGTATCGTGGTGTATTTATAGCCACATGTGTGCTGCATTACCTTGTTAGCTTATTTATAAAAACTTGTTGGTTTATTAATGTAATGGCATCAATGACACGATACGTCTTGTAAACGACGTTGTGAATTACAGTCGCCGGGAATGGTGTAATTCGTGTCTGAAATAAGCGGTGTGAAATGGTGTCTGTGTTTCTGGCTGTGAATGATCTCAGGAGCTCTGACGCAATCTGGGCCCTGTAGCATTAGACCGCATTAGTCAGTTTAAAAGTGATCGTTTTGTGTTTTCAGCTGAACATATAGACTGCCTGCATTCTGTTTTTAGCATATTGCCCTTTGAGTGGGCATGTTTCAGTAAATTAAGACGGTCAGGGGGCAGCGAAAGTACCGTTTTTATGTTGCTGGCTGAGGATGGTGTTATTTAATATCGAAATGGCTTAAACATCGCCGAGATCTTATCATGTAGGTTTGGGATGTCGGTGGTTGTTTTAACACAAGTTCGGGGGATTTGGGTGTGGATGTGCAGGTCTCAAATGATCACGGCTTGCCGGAATTGAGAAACCTAGAGTCAACATCATAAAGTCGCACACCGGAATACGATCTCAATGCAGTAGTTCGGATTCATTATGAGTTGAGAATATTTTTGGAAGTCGAGGAAATGCTAGAAATGTGCCGATGAGGCGAAACGTTTTTTTTTATAGCCATGTGCCAGGTACTGGCCGGCGTTAGCTTCGTTTCCAGGCGCTTTGTTAGCAGCGAATGGCTTCTGAAGTGCGGAAATGTGAGCGACACAGCCTTCTGCGTACATCTGTTCGCTGTCTTATTTCCGATCAGCCTTTTCTTCGACTGTCGTTCGTCTCTCCCATCCTTTTTTTTTTTCTCTCAACGCATTGCGAAACGGGCGAAGTCGCGCCCTCAGCTCGCCAGCTCCCCCAGGTCATTCCAGCGGAGCTTTTCGTATGAGCTCGGCTTCGGTTTCCTCGCCGGCGTGAAACGTGCTCCGCCTGAAATGTCTGACAGTCCGCAGGCTGGGCTTTGTCTGGCTCTGTGGAACTGCGCTGGTGTCTTGACTCCAATGCCGAGGCCTGGTTTGATTGAGGTTGGGCATTTACCTTGTGCGAAGCAGCAGCAGCAGCAGCCTAGCTAGCTGTGGCGGTGCTAAGTTAGGTTAATGGTTGCTGAGCTAGTCTATATATGGGTGTAACTCTCAGCATTCCAGTAGATGTTGCTGAACCAGTCCCCTCTTGGGTGAAGCCTCGAGGTGCCTGCTACAGCCTCATCTGGGGCAATGATCAGACAGGGGATTGATGTTGAGGCAGATGGTATGGGCCGACCCCAGCAGGTGGAGTGTGCAGCCAGCCTCATCCAGTCTGTCTCCCTCTCTCAGGCCCCGGTTTTGTTTTAGACCACTGCTGTCCTCTAAGGGCAACCAGAGACGCAACGAGGTTGTAGGATTTCATGGGAGCCCGTTTGTCAGTAAGCAGATGTGAAGTGCGGAGGCAGGCATCTAGTTTTAAAATGGAGTCTGATCTCAAAACACAGCTGAATGTTAGCTGTGGAAATTGGGTGTTCCCTTGCAAATGGGTGCAGTTTTGCATTTGTAGACAATCATTTGTTGTTAACACCTGCTAGAGCTGTGATATAAATAAACGCTTTCGTTTATTGTCATCCAAGTGCTGCCTTTTTGATATGTGATTTTAAGTACTTTTGTTAGTCTTAGTCTTAATGTTTCTTAACATTAAGCCTGCAAGTAGTGAGTAAGCAGTTCAAAGAATGATCTTGAGAGATTGAGGCAGATGTAAGAGGTATATACTGCAAGAAATGTCCTTGATGGGAACAAATGGGTCTTTGACTCTTGGTTTATTCTGTTTCTGAGATTACTATACATTTGTGCAGTGTGAGATGCTCATCTTCCTTAGAAGAATTTGTAATAATCGGTGGTTATACATGTTTTGTTTCCACTCTCCAGAAAGTGTTAAGAGATTTTGTTATGTTGCAGTCTTAACCAGCTGACCAAAGAAATGGTGATGGAGAAGCCAAGTGCCCTGCTGGTCGGGCGTGAGTTTGTCCGACAGTACTACACCCTTCTGAACCAGGCGCCTGATTTCCTGCATAGGTATGTTTTTGCGACCTAACTTTAAGATACCTCATCACTTTCAAACTGAATGGGAAAACACAGTTGCAATGGATTGTTAAACGTTAGAACTGTCAAGCCTTAATGCTAATATAGCTTAAAATTAACATTTAAAGCCCACTTAAGTTTGAAAGTGTTTTCTGAACCTCCTGTTAGGATTTAAAAAAAAATTGTGAGATATTCTATCCGCTTAAGTGCTTTATATTATTGGGTGGGATTAATTGAATCAGTGCTGACTGCTCATTGACTGGAGCAGCCCTCAGCACATCGGTGATGGATCTGTCATTGCTAGTCAGGACAAGATTGCAGCATTTGTACAGCTGCACACTTGTGATCAGTGGCCACAGGGATGCTCACTTCAGCTGTTTTCAGCGGTTGAGACAGGCGCATGAGGAAAGCACATTTTGTATCCTTTCTCACTGAACATGAAGTGCTGTCCTATTTGTAAGCCGCTTATGTAAAAGTTGAAAATAACACTCTTGAACGTTCGATAGTGAAATACATCAAATGGCAGCCACTGGCAAAATTAGCACACAAATACCTTGTTGCACCTACCACTCTAGTCTCAGACGACTTTCCTGCATCTGGGGACAGTGACAAAGATTGGAAGTTCACAGGTTTTCAATGTGCACAAACCTTTTTTCTTACAAAAAAAATACCCGAGGAGTGGTATTTACATATAAATTGTTTGATACAGAGCAGAGCAAAATATTTCTGTAGAAAACCTTCAGTAGTGCCAAACGGAAGGTGACCATCATAAGTGGTTTTAAGTGAGAGCCGCACTCGCCTTCTCCAATCTGGACTAACGTCTGTAGGCACTGTGGGAACTGCAGTATGCGATTGGGTGCGAAATGTGCATGTTTTAGAAGGAAAAGCTGTTGCATGGCCACTTTATTTTAAAAGATCTTATTCTTTGCATGTTTGCCAGTGAACGGTTAAGAGTCACCTGATTCATATTGGAAGGTTTGAAAAAAATTGATTTCAGATGAAAGCTACTGCCTGTAGTAGGCTTGGGGACACATAAAAATACCTTTTCAAACTGGTGGCATTTCAGAGAACATGTTAACAATGTTTTCCTATGCGTCCTGGTACTTCAAGCAAATGATCAATTGGCCAATTATCAGCAGGAAGCTGAAGACTTTAAAATTTTAAATGTACCGTCTGACATCTTTATATGTCTTTGCTGGTAGGTTTTATGGAAAGAACTCATCTTATGTTCACGGAGGCTTGGATAGCAATGGAAAGCCTGCTGAGGCCGTCTACGGGCAGTCCGTAAGTAATGTTAATTCACTGTCTTTTTGGATTTTAGGCAAGGCCATGCTGCTTTACTCCCCTTTTTTTCCTCAGCATCTGGCAAGTGATCTGAGTTTTGCAAAACAAAATGCACGTTTCCCTACATGCATGTCTGATCCTAAGCGTGAGGTGGGGACAGTGAGATACTGAAATAGTATTCTGTACATCTCCTTGGTCAGGGGGGACATATTTTGATAGCTTCTCTCTTTCAGGAAATTCACAAGAAGGTGATGTCACTGAGCTTTCGCGATTGCCATACGAAGATCCGCCACGTGGACGCCCACGCCACTCTGAACGACGGGGTGGTGGTCCAGGTGATGGGGGAGCTGTCCAACAACATGCAGCCCATGAGACGGTTCATGCAGACGTTTGTGCTGGCACCTGAGGTGAGAGCGCCTCGGAGTCCTCCCGGTCCTTTGCAACATGGAGGTTTATTTTTTTACCGATCTGTGATGTGATTGTCTTGCAGTAGAGGTACGAGGAGTAAACAAAGGTCTTACATTTAACAGAAATTAGGTGGAAGTTATATAAATGCATTCTATTAGACACTTAGTCAGATTAGTCATGGACCGTTAGTCAGATGGAGGTTTGAACCTTTCTGTAAAGCTTTTACTTGTTTTTCTTTCAGGGCACAGTGGCCAACAAATTCTATGTACACAATGACATATTCCGCTACCAGGATGAAGTTTTTGGCGATTCAGACACTGAGCCCCCTGAGGGTAAGAAACATCCTTGTCAAAAGAAAATGTTCATGATTCTGGCACTTGATTGTGGCTTCAGTGTCTGGGGTTGTCAGCTGAATGCTATTCCTGACTGACAGAAGGCAGCAGGTTTCACTTCTAATACTTGACCCTTGTAACCTTCCTTGTTTCAGAGTCTGAGGAGGAGGTGGAGGAGAACGAAGACAGAGCCCATTCTCCGGAGGTAGCCCAGGAGGACACCTCTCCCTATTATGACCAGGCTACAAGGTGTGGAGATTACTGGTGATTACTGTAGTTCAGGCAACAAAGCTTACTTTTAAAATAAACCTTGATCATGACCTCTTTTTTTTTGGCATGATCTGTTTAAGGAGGAAAAAAAAATCCCTTTTTTAAGCCAACCCAATTTAACTTCTGTGATTTGTTGACATTAGATCCCGTTAGATTTGACATTTGGGATTTGGTGTTCCTCCAGCATGTCCTCCAACTAATTTTATACATTCAAATGCAAAACGGGTATCGAATTCTGAGGGTTCAATACGTCTTGAGTAACAAAGTGTTGCGTAACTGAGGAAAGCTTTAGTAAAGCAGGACACCACGCCGTTGCTAATATTAGAAATGTGATCGTACAGCACGGAGTTAGAAGAGCAATTGGAGGAACAGGCTGTAACCCCAGAACCTGAGCCGGAGCCAGAGCCTGAACCAGCTGCGGAAGAACAGAAGCAGGAAGCGGCTCCAGAGCCCGAGCCTCACACAGAGGAGCAGGTGGAGAAGTGTCCCTCTCCGGCACCGGCTGACCCGGCACCGGCTGTGCAGGAGGACAACCGGGTACGGTTCTGAGGGGATCTTCTGGGATGGGGGCTGGAGATTGGCCTCGACGATAAAAGTGAAAGCAATGATTTAACATGATGAGCTACTTACAGTGACCTATGAGACAATTTTTTTTTTTAGGGAGATGAAATTATAGTGCAGTGAGCAGGGGATTCATACGTGCTCCACAGTCACTTGATGCTGGATTATGTGGATTTACCGATAGATTCTGGCAGGTGAGATTTTTAATATTTGCTTTCTTCTCTGCAGCCATTCTCCTGGGCCTCTGTCACCAGCAAGAATCTTCCTCCTGGTGGAATTGTCCCAGCATCAGGAATTTCTCCCCATGTTGTAAAAGTTCCAACGGTACAGGTATGGTAAAAGTGCAAGTTAATTCGGTGAAACATTGTTTTCGTATAGTAGTAAGATACACCAGTGGAAAGCAGTCTTAGATGTTTGGTGTCCTCATGCAGGACTCTTGACCTCGCCTGGGCTTATCTGACTGGCATGCAATTGTTAGGGAAGGGATATTTTTGTAAATCTGTTTCATGGCCTCGAGGCTTAGTGCTTTGTCTAGTAGGCTGTTTATCTGTTTGATTTCTTGGCAATGCAGTTTCCCTCTGATAAATGACAGCCAAGTGCTGTATTTCTGCAAGACCACAAGAATAGCCACAGTTAGCTTGAAATTAATACTCATTTGTCTCTTCTCAGAGGGTATAAAAAGTTATGCTGGACTATTAACAGGATTATACTAGATATCAGTGTAGACATATTTGAGACTACAGCTACAGTAATGCTGGCATTGTTCTGTCCTTGCCCACAAGGATAGGAAAACTGAAGTTCCGTATATACTGTGCTCATGTTTTTACATGTCTTAAATATTTTTTTCTTTTTGCTACCTCTCCTAAATGTGCTCAGTAAGTGTTAAAACTAAGCTCGGCATGGGATGAAATGAGCTTTAGGAAGTTTTTAGGTGTGTGTGATCTGTTACGTGTTTTTTACTGAATTAATATTCCAGCCCAGAGTGGAGGTGAAAACTGAAACGCAGACCGCAGTACAGAGACCTCAGAGAGACCAGCGACTGAGGGAGCAGAGGCCTGGACCTCCAGCACACAGGGGCCCGCGGCCAGGAGGTACTCTTCAGCTCTGATTGTTAAAGGGAGGCATTCCTAAACCTTGTCTGTTGGTGCTGTGCCCAATTTTTTTCCTTTCAAGTCGGCTCCTGTTTCGTCAGGTTTTTGTAATTGCGAAATATATTGTGGCTGTAAAATATGGCTTGTATAAAATTGCTTAGTTAATTAAAAATCTGTTTGAGACCTCGTTTTAGAACAATGACGCGGATATTATCGAATCAGTTGCCGTTTTATTCACTTACTGAGTGTTCGGCATGAAGGCTGTGTTCTGAAGAACAATTCCGCTTTTTCTCAGCTCGCGAGGGGGAGCAGGGCGACTCAGAGGTACGGCGCGTGGTCAGGTATCCAGACAGCCACCAGCTTTTCGTGGGCAATCTGCCTCATGATGTCGACAAAGCCGAGTTAAAGGAGTTCTTTGAACGTAAGTTGAGCTTCACCTCCGTTCTCTATATCCATGTTCTCTGAGGTTAATTCAGATTATTTTGATAAACTTCAGCTTTTCCGCTAATGCAGAAGAAAATATGGAAAATAAGTACAGATGCAAATAAAAAGAATGAAATACTTAGTTTTGTCCTGGAAAGACTTGTGGGTAGTGGTCTGTCATTTGCTTAGCATCAGTTTGCTTTGTTTTTCAGAGTTTGGTGTTGTGGTAGAACTGAGGATCAACAGTGGAGGGAAGCTGCCCAACTTTGGGTTCGTGGTTTTTGACGACTCTGAACCCGTGCAGAAAATACTGAACAACAGGGTAGGTTGTACAGGGGTGGTTTATTTTGCTGGTGAAATGGGGCTGTTTTTCACGGGGATCTGGGAAGTGTGCTGATTGACACGTATTAAATGTGGCCCGAACCACACAGTTGACGGGGGCGGAGCATGCGGTTACAGTTTGTGTGGACGTGCTGGAGCACTTTGTGGAGTATGACGACCCCGATGTCCTTATGTTCGTTTTAGCCTATCAAGTTCAGGGGGGATGTGCGGCTCAACGTGGAAGAGAAGAAGACGCGCGCGGCCCGGGAAGGAGACCGGCGAGATGTCCGTCCCAGGGGGCCGGGGGGGCCTCGCGACAGGATAGGAGGAGGGCTGAGGGGACCCCCTTCCAGAGGTGCAATGTCCCAGAAGCCTAGTTTTGGCGCCGGACGGGGCACCGGACCCAGCGAAGGGCGCTACGTGGGGCAACGCCAGTGAAAGTCCGAGCTCTAACCACTACTGAGGCCCATTTAACCTAACAGCACAGCTGGCTTCTGGTTCATCCGTTCTTGTAACTTTAATTTTCAGCTTTGGGGCTTTGGAATGTGATCCCAGCTTGATCTGGACTCTGTTTTTAAAAACGGCTTCTTGTTTTGTTTTGTTTTGTTTTTTTCCTGTTTTCTTTTAAGTTTGTAAACTTGTATTCGTAACATTTAAACAAAAGTGCTACTTGAATTGAAAAACCCGGAGATTGGTTTTAGCGTTCTCTCCCTGTTTCTTAAAGGAACGTGTTTTTACTTCTTAGGCAATCCTGTGTATTGCTAAAGGCATTCTTGCAATTTTCTTTTCCTCAGGAGCTACTATTTAAATCCTAGCACTGTTGAATCATGGTCATGTTGGAGTGGTTTTGGAGTCCATTGCAGCTAAGGATCCTTTGGAAAGTTTCATCTGCACTTCACCAGAAAAGTGTTGTACTTTATTCTGAGTTAAAGCTAACTTTTAAACTAAGACATGCTGTTTTTAAGCCACTTTTTTATTTGTTTTATAGTCTGGATTAAAGAAAACGTTTCCTTCAAGATATGGAGTATTGCTGGGGAGATGTTCTCACTTTTGTTTTAAATTCTTATTTTGTATTGTAAAAACAAATTGTTGTGCCTTCTATTTATCTCATTCCAATCTTGGCAAAGTTGTACAAATAAAGTGTAGATTTGCTTTATCACTATTGCTTTATTCTTCTTTGTGAGATTTTTTTAAAGGTATCAACAGATTCAAGCACATCAGAATGCTGCCTTCAAAAGTATCTTCCGGAGCTAAGTTTACCTTCAGTCCAGGAGGGCAAAATCATTTCATTTTATAATGGAATCTTCAATTAATGACTAAGACTTTCATAAAGTAGGTCATTTCATGTCTGACCCTAAGTAGGATCACAGAAAGTTGCAAGCTACCAAAGAACTGGAGTTGTCAACTCCTTTCTTATGCTCTAGGGACAGATCCAAATTTAGAGAGGGCTGCAACTGCAGGTTTTTTTTTGTTCTTTCAACCGTTTCCAGCTTAACAGCTCCAGGAGGATCTGTAACATTACTGTCCTTCTTGGACTGGAGCTGGATGAGTCCCACATCAGTAATGTGACCTGTTATGAACCACTATTTTGTGAATTGATTTCCTTAAATGGAGATGGCATCTTGTCAGCTTTTCCCTCTGGGTTCTGCAAATGCTGCACTGTACCACTCCTATGTCCACGGTACTTTTTAAGAGGCGTTAATTCCACATCTTGCAGGGCTGGTGTATCAGCAGATACAGATTGTGTTAATACTGTGTACCTGCAACTGGAGGGGTTGATGAAGTCAAATTGGTCAACTGAAGCCAATGTCTTTGACTAGGTTAAGAGATCTAAACTAAGAGCGGTTGGAATTAAAACTTCTCTAGGATTAGGACACCCCTTACTTAGGCAGAAATGTCAAGCTTATGAGGAGCAAAAACTAGGTTTTAGTTCATGTGGAGAATGAGTTTTTGATGGATATTCCCTTTAAAGAATGCACTGTAACAATTACTGCAGTTAATCAAAGAATGGATTATGTATGTTGGTTTTGTTAGGAGAACCAGTGCTTTGATATCTCGGTACTTTCATCTCAATTTCCTAATCCAGTTTTCAGACGTAAATCCTTGTTTTCCTAATTGGTTGCTAACTGCAAAGCTCTATGATTATGGTCTTCGAGGACGGGAGGTGCCCATTCCATTTGGGTTAATTTTGCTTCTCGCAGAAGTATGGGAAGGCTTGACAAGACCTTCATAGCAGAATGAAGCACATATGGGTAATTGCTGAAATGTTTTGTTAACCGATGTTTTCTTGTGTATATGCATTTTTTCTCCTTCGGGGTTGAGATATTCCATTTCCATTTTACTGGATAGTGGCTTTTATAGGAATGTGCCATGATTTAGTTTGACTTGGAAGTGTTCTTTAAATTAAAACCCAAGGAAATTACTTATTGCCTAATTGTGATGCATTCAAAACAGCAGCATTGTGAAGCATTACCATTTAAGACAAAGGTTGTGAAGATGTATTTCTAGACTTTGCAGAAGTCTGAAACTGTAGAATCCAGGTGATTTGTAAAATTGCTGCACTTCCTTTCACCACCTAGCTTTCACCTAACTAGGTGGACCAGGCGGTTTTGATGAAGATCCACCTAAAAATGCAGTAAAACCGCACAGCAGCCTCATGAAAAGCAGTGACAGTCCAGCTGGGAACAGCAGTTTCCAGCTAATAAAATCCTATAATGGCTTGAAAACGTGCTATAAATCTCATGCTCTCTCTCCTTGGTATGATTAATTCCAGTATCTTGCTACCATGTTGGCTAAATGTGGGATTTTAATTTTTCAACCTCACCTTTTCATTAAAAACCCTCCAGGCTGGAAATAGCTTGTAATTTCCTACAGTATACACAACTGGCCACATCTCTCCATGCATAAAGAACTGAGAGGAGGAGCTTGCAGGTCTTCTGCTCGAGAGTCAGCTGCACAATCTGGGCCTTTTGTCAAGCAGGACATCACACAGGTGTGACCAGGACCTTGTTAGCCAGGCTCATCATTTTGATTTATTTCCGTCCACCTGCTTCTTTTTGGCCGGCGATAGAGAATTCTCAGTGGTTTTACTCCATCCCCCCCCCAACCCGACCTTTTATGTTCACATCGGACAGGTGCGTTGCTAGCGGAGGTTAAAGAAAAAATCAGATTTTCATACACTGAGGAATGGGTTTCTGTCAAAGCATTCATGTTCCACTGGCTTCAGATGTCAGCTATAAAGCAATTCCCCTCCCAGCGACGTGACTGAGAGGGAATGGGTGGAAGATACCACCTCCACAGCCGAAGAGCCTTGTACAGTATGTTACTGACTTGGTTGGGTCATGGAAAAATGAACCTGATACAGCCCTTTGTGGTTCATAATCCACAAACATAACTGGCATACTACACTTCTGAGAGCGTTCCGACTGGCAAATGAGACTCCGCTTTGCAGAAGAAAAAGGGCCTGCTGCTTTCTGGCTAAGACTCTGGAATTATTTTTACAAGGGAAGAGTTTTCTTGCTCACTCTGCCTAATTCAATTGGTGTGAGCGTCACCACTGTGATCCTCTTAAACTATTAAAACGGGAACTTAAATTTAAGCACTAAGGATGATAAGTGCCAGATCCCATTCACTCCAATTGTCACTGTGGATATGGGTGAGGAACTGATCATTTAAGTGTAATTCACAACATATTCTTTCTTTTAAATTGCCATATTTCTGTCTGTGTTTAAAAGACAGGATAAAATTGTCTCATGGCTGTGACATTAATTCATCCTGTGTTGTTTTGGTCCACAGAAATATAAACAAAATACAAGTTCATACAAATGTCATAAGAACCATAAAATTAGTTTAAGCCAGCAGTATTCTCTTAAAATTGTTTCAGCAAAATTATGGATATGCATGTGTATATTACACAGATACAGTAGCCACCAAATCCAACTATCAATATAGTTAATGAACTATAGCCAGAGATAGATTCAGCATGAAAATCCAGACATACTGTCAATGTTTTGATAAAATGCATACCAAAAACCAAAATCTTGCAGATACTCAAAAACGGGTAGAAGAATTTTTCAGAAAACATTTAATTTTAATTAGAATTGGCATTATGACATATTTCAATAAATATTCAGTTATATACAGTTACAGCAGAAATTTTACATTCCTTTTTTTCTTCAGTTTGCTCACATATTGTACAAGCCAAAAATATCTGCCATTGTTTTAAATATTACATCCATGCAAAATACTCAATGTTTTCCAGGTTTATAATTAAAAAATAAAAAAAATTGGCTTAACTTTGCCAGCACCCAAGGTAATTTACTTGCTTGGATTATGGCAATTAGCAAATTCTGCACTTTGTGCCAACACACTATATAAGCAAAGAAAAACAAACAAAACAAAACAAAAAAAGATTTAAGGCCATACCAATCTGTGCAAAAATAACATTGAATTAAATTCAAAATGATCTTTTTTTGTCCTTCAGGCTTATTTTATTTTACGGTTTTCAGGTGTTTTTATCAATGCTTTATTTCTATTATTATAACTGGAACTGGGAAATGATTATAAATTCAAATGTTTACCATTTCCTAGATGTTCCAATTAAAGTGTGCCGTCAAACTGAGTTTGTGAACCAGGAAAAGAAATGAAAAGCAGGGAAAACACACATTAAACCGAACAGTAATGCATGCTTATTTTCTCAGTTAACTATTGTGCCTGAAGAACTGTTATCGAATTTTTGTAACATGAATTTCCTTCTGATTTTAAATGAAATTCTAAATCTCATTTATTGCACACATTCTTGTCCAAAGCCTTTATGAATCGCAGTTTGCTGATATCAACACAAGACTTCCTGTTCTACAAAAAACGCATTTCAATTTCAGCCCTTCCCTTAAGATGGGTTCCAATTTATTGCCAACAGGTTCATTTTAACTGTTTATATGTCCTCAACACATATACAATTTATCTAAATATAAGGTCCTTTCTGTATATTTACTTTTTGAAAAACAGCTTTATTATTAGATTTGTAATACTTCTGGTAACACTGCATAGCATTTGGAAGAATCCTTTTTCCTGCAGTGAGAAGCTGCAGTTTAGTGACTCTCTACCTAGATGTTCATAGAACTATGATAAAAAGTGCAACCAAAGCCTTTTAGAAAATTAATTTTCAAGCATACTTGGTACACAGAAAAAAAACTTTCAATTTGCTACGTATGAGGTGTATTATGGCATTTCCGACTCAGTGAATATTTAACAAAAATTGAGGCACATGATGAATTTTTCTCTGAAAATGAGGGAGATGAATAATGCATGCTTTTGTTAAAAGTGTAATGGAGTATTCCATGACATTGCATATCTTTAATTTTAGGGTGCATTTTGGTTTGGGTAATGCGAGAACTACCCAGCCTTCTTCTTTTATGACAGGGTTACTTTCCAATGTGGCAAAAAAACATTTAAGAGATGTTTTGATTGTGCAACCTTACAAACTTTTACGACAGCATTACCAATAATTAGACTTTAATTTTTTTCCGTCTTTAATTTAAAAATACCATGCTATGCAGGAATTCAATACACATAGAGACGTCTCTCAATTAGTACAAAACCAGTACATACTCAGGTAAAGTTAATTGTCAAATGTATGAAATTAATACTCGATTAATTTAATTTATCAGAACAGGCTATGATCATGAATATATTTATTTTATAAGCTAAAAAGATTAACATATACTAGGATAATGCATGTTTACTTTTTATAAGGGAGGACAATTCTGTACTTTCTTCCAAAGTATAAAAACAACAAAATTCTAAACATGATCTTTTAAAACAAAAAGGTATAGATTCTCTTTTCATCTTTTTGCCATTTTTCACCTACAGTACATTTTTCCACCAGAGGAAGACAATGAGGGTAGCTAAACAAGATCTTTGGTTTGAAAAAAACAAAGAAAATTAATAATTTGGCAATAGAAATTGCTTTACAGTCTAAGCTAATATTTAAGTGCTATAAACTTAGGCATTGCTCAGTTTTATTGTCCTAAATTAGACGTCTATCTATAAAAAGAGATGAGTAAGATGTGATAATGCCTCCTATGTGAGTGACAGGTTTAAGTAAATCTTAAATCACTTAAGGACACTAAGAGTATGAATGAGGCATTCAGAAAAGTTTTGTTTGAGCCAGGATTTCAGCTTAATACCTGGCTTTTGATGAAAATGAAATATATACATAACATTTCAACAACATATTGCATATGATCCCATGCATAGCTAAAACATTAGTGCTTTTTTTAAAGTGACAATGTTAGAAAAGGAACACATTAAAAAGATGCAACTTTCAATTATTCACTTTTTTTCAGACCATTAATCAGAATCTTAACTTCTAACCTTTGAAAAGATATGTCTGATACAATAGAGAGATATCACTTTAAAGTTGTGATTCAGAATCTTTCAAGGGATAAAATATATAGCAGATGTATACATGAGACATATGTGTTGTGTCAATCATGTACAAACACAAATATGTGAATACCTCTAATTTGAAATCATTGCTGCAGATGTGTTAGCTGGGTTTATTTTGTTAAGAAAACTATACAAATATAATTTCTGTATTATGTGAACTTAGATCTGTACAGCATAATGCTTATGAAATAAGTATTAACTACAAGTAAATTGGTTTGTCCTGTATACAATTTATCCAATCCTAGTTGTTTATACATCCTTAACTCTAAATTTGGTTTCGTCCTGGCATATTTCATCATGGCAAAGAACTGGCACAGGATTTAATGTAAAAAGAAAATGAAACAACAGTGAGAATGGAAAAAGAAGCATTTTCCATTTCCAGTATCTCAAAATATGCCATATCTTTGATCCACCTTTGTCAAGCCTCCATTACTCTCCTTGGTGTTCATTAGAAGCCTCAGGCATTCTTCCTGGCTCCTAGCCAGCAATCGAGGGACGCATTTACAAGTACCAATAATTTGAAACAACAAAGCAAATTTCCATATACTGTATGGGGTAACCAGTCTTTCATACTTTGTATCTTTTCATTGCTGGAAGCACCAAACCGCTCTTTAAAATGCCTAAATCCAGTAGCCTAGCGTCGAAGAAATAATAGTTTGGATTTTTCTGAATAGATATATAATATATTACAGAGCTGTAGTTTTTGCCCTTTAATTCTGGGTTTGCAGGTTTTTTTTCCTTGCGGTCGCAAGTGTCTTGGAAGAGCCTTCCCTTTGCAACATTTTGCTTCCTCCATATTGAAGTCCTCTGATTTGTCAGTTAGAAGTCTTATATTTGCAAGGTCTTTTTTTCATTTTTTCTTTTTTTTCTGTAAATATATTGCCACATTCATATTTCATGCATTTTACTGCATTGCTATTGCACAGGTCCGGATGTATCCAGGAGAAACAAACAAACAAAAAAAAAAAGTTAAATTGATAAATATTTTGAACTTCCTCGCCAGCTCCGCCGCCGTCAAAAGCATTCTCTCCGTTGACCGCGGGAAGAGGTTTCTACTGCTTGTGGACGTCCTCGCTGCGAATGATCTTGTAGATGATCCAGTAGAAAATGTTAAAAATGAGGAATACCAGGGGGAAGGCTACGCGGGAAACCGTGTCAATTCGCTTGGCGCGACTGATGAAAAGCTTGCGCATTTCCTCGATCGTCTTCTCGGGGGGGTTGGCCGAAGCAGGGGCGTTGTTGTTGTTGCCTTTGATGGAGATGCCGTCCTTCGCTTGCAGGCACGCTGGGCCCATACCATAGGCAGCGAAACTGAAGCGGCCTTCCCCAGCTTCATCCTCCTGCAACACAGCCGAATATTCAATCTGTTAGGGATCAAAAATTCATTATCCGTTTTTAACCTCTGCGCACATCGGAAATTCACACAGCACGCATTTTCCTAAACGACGACGCCCCAAAGCTTTTTTTAAAAAGATTTTTTAGAAAAATATACGCAAGTCCTGATTCTTTTCTACTGAGCACGTATGACACACATTTGGGAAATTTCATTATAACCTGATTGAAACGGATGTGGGCGTCACCGAAAAAAAAAATGATACGGATTGTGGAATGCTGAAAACAAAATGCTTATTTCTACAGATAGATGTTTTTGGACATGCACTTAATCAGGTTCTTATTGTGCCAAGATTCCAGTGTCCACTTTTGCATTTAATGTGAGATAATGATCAGAAGGTACTCAATTGTGCCAAAGAAAAATGGTCCCATTGAGATATCGCAATATGGAAGCTTGGCCAACCTTAGACCACCAGGACTACGCACAGCTGCTCATAAGGGCTTGGGGTAAATTAACATATTCAACCTATGTGCCAACTGCAAACTCCAAAGCCAAAATCTGATGTCAGCTATCCTTTGAGAAGATGTCGGAATCCTGAGGCAAATGAAAAAGGCTTCGTGAACTGACATGTTAGGAATGTTTAATTGGCAGGTGGATATCAGTTTTGTTTTAATTTGTACCTAGTTTAAGAAGGGTGAAATCGTTTGATTTCATCAATGGATGCTTATTAGTCAAGTTGGGCCTTTGATGCTTTAAAAAAGGCAAAAGAAAAGATTGTTTTTTCTTATTGGTCTCAACTGAATTACGGTTCTAGTCGTATTTGGAAAATGCATAAAACCTACAACACTCATAAAATGCCTTATTTGTAGCATTTCATAATTCATATTTAAATGAAAGGTATAATACTAAAGTGTTTCCCTCTGTAGTGACATATTATGGTATAAAATTCCTATTCTTTTTTGCTTTTAATCTAAATTTTAGATTAAAAAAACTTGAATGTTTGCTCAATCCAAAGCTAAGGATGTGAATGGCATTCCTAAATGCCATTTTATGTGTTTAAAATTCAGATCACACATGTGGTAATAGGTATGCAAAAAAAAAAAAACAACACTATCTTTTTTACTAAATTAAGGATCTTCTCTTTCTGCAAGTCAGATCCATTTTTAGATATATTGTCCTCTCTGTCCTTGTCTTTATGCCTTCCCATTTATAACTGTTAAAGTACCAGCGACGATGCCTGCACACATACAGAGAGGGCTTTACTTGTGTGCTGCTAGTGTTTGTGTGAGGAAATGGAAAGTTGGGAGTTTTGTCCCTTTTCTGTCCTTTATGCACACAAGCTCTCCATTTATAACTATTAAGGATGCTCTACGTTCTGCGCGCACACCGTGATGGGCAGTCATAAAGAGGAGTAAAACCTCCATCTTTATGATCTTGCTTTCATCATCTAAACTTGATACTTTGCCCCCCCCCCTCCACTAATTAAAAACCAGAATTAATGCTGTGTCAGTTTCAGATCCCAGCCTTTCAAAGGTGCAGAAACAAAACACCGCCTTTCACATTGCAGTGGAAAGTAATTCACATTTCGGCATTGCAGTATGGCTCCCTTTCCCCTTTGCAAGGAAGAGAGACAGAGTGAGGGAGCAGCTTGTGCAAAACTGTCTCTCTCTGCTGCTTCATCCATCAGGGTTTTAAGTCACGACTAATGCGCTGGTATCTCTGTGCAAGTTGATTAATGGCAAAGGTTAGAAGGAGTTTTAATGGGAATTATTTTATTTTTGCTTGGAAGCTGTTGAAGCATGTTATCATTTAAGCAGTTAAATGCACACGACAGAGGGAACTGAACTTATTTCCTGGTTCACGCCTTGTTCTTTTTGATTCTCCTTCTGGTGTGCAATACTTTTACAATAAAAAATAATGTCAGAGTCTGATTTTCTGCAAACGTTTGTACGAAACACGGTACAAAAGAAGTACATTTTTTATTCCTGTCAAAGCACTGCTCGAATGTATTCATATACATAGTTATTGTAATAACGTAATAATTTCCCTACATACATTCTCTTGTATCTTCTCTGTATTCATGTTTTAATAAATGGAGGGTTAAGTAGTAATTGGCATCATCAGTTACTGGTAATAAAACATGGGTGTTGCTGCATGTGAATATTGGTGTGTCTCCTTTTGGTCTCTTTGGATAATCACTGGAAGTTGTTGCAAAAAGTTGTAAAATCCTGTCAATGATTTTGTCAGAATGTCTACATCATGGAGCAACAGATGTGTGTTTTTTTCTTAGCATTTTAGTTATTGAACTTAGTGTGTATTTTTTTTTGACAAAGTAAGGTAACCCTATGTACGTTAGAAACTGAAGGCTGTCAAATATGAAACATTGAATACAAGCGATAGAAGGCATAGATATTGAGGATTTATGTGAGATAAAACAACGGCTTATTTTGGATATAAACCGATGAAGGAATTTGGCTTGTGTTTCTGATTGTTTCAGGTATCTGATTTAAACTGATTTTAAGTAGTCATTACAATTCCGTTTGTTTCTATATTTGCTTCTATATCCCCTGTTTTGCAGGGTGTTACAAAACCTGCTCAGTTAATCTTTTTGGGTCCTTTTTGATGGTATTTCATAAAATGTCTCAAAAGAACATTATTATGAACTTAATTATTTTGTCTTCAGTTCAGTGGTACAATATTTCAAACCGCATTTATGATATACATTTAAAGAAATGTGTCAATATGAAACCAAAATCATTAGTGATACTCATCACAGGATACAGCACGATATGATGAAACTGAAGCATTTTCAGTCTTAATCGGGGTGTTTGTAGCTAATGAAAACCAAAACAAAGAGGCCGGCAACGAAAATGGAAAGCTAAAAAACGAAACTCAAACAAAATAATAATCAAAAGTAAAACTGAAATGATAATAACATTAAAAAAGTAATTGCTTCACCAATTGAGTTAACAGGGAAATGAAGGTAAGCCAAATTAGGCAAACCCAAAGTACAATTAAGCCAGGGCACCAGGGTGTGCACCCATGTTCTTACTCAGAGAATGGGATTCAGACTATGGTAAACATGTGGGAATATCCCTGGGAGGTTTGTGTCATGGAGAGAATTCCAGAGCCCACAACTGAAATGTGAAGAAGACTCAACACCACAAGAATTCTTAATAGACTTCTGGTATATGGAGGAGTGGTCTTCTTTTGTGCACGATACATGTAGGTTAATTTTAATTTTTTTAATTAGGCATAATGTTTTTTTACAACACTAGAAATCTATGCTTTCTCAGCACTGTTGACCAAAGATATAAAACTTTCTTACCTTCCACACTTTTTTAAGTGTCTGCGCTACAGAGATATGAGCTAAATATTAAAGATGACCATTTTATTTTTCATTTACTCCTATTTAAATCTGTATTCTTTTTCCTCGTCTCGTCAGCTTCCAAGGAGAGACACATTGGAAGACCGCATCAAAAAAAAATATTTTGCAAGGTTCTATTTGCCCCTGAAGTAACATTCATCTCTAATGAGCTTATTATCCTATATCAATCAAGGGCTTTTCCCTAATGAGCTCTTGTCATTGCGTAGCAGGGTAACGGACAATGAAGTCAAAAGGTTTTAGTATTAAAATACCTCTGTGCTGTCACACTAAAATGCCTGGTTTGTTTTGAAGAAAAAGTAACATCTGATCACCAAAGTCTTTTCAACATATAAGACTGTTGTGCTCATCCTTCCTTTGCATAGCACTGTCCTCTCTCTCTAATTAATGTGAATGCAAAATGTCTGTCTGTGTGATAGACTGTATACTGCATTTAATGCAATGCTTTCTTTTTAAGAAACTGATTTATTTTTATTTTTGGTGATAAAAGGTTAAGGAAAATACCCAACTAAAATTAGTTTTTGAAAACAATAACTGATTAGAAAGCATGATAATATATGCATACATAAATACATTTATACATTATATTTAAACAAGAAAGTTTCTAAATCGTGGATTTCCCTTTTTTGATTCATTGCAGCCCACACCACGCAGATCCTCACTTTTACGATAAAATCTGTTTCAAATTCAGCCAGCTTCTTCTATCATTAAGTAGACTTAATTGCTGAGTTGAACTTCAAATGGTATAGAAAATCAATATGCATTTCCAATTATAGAAATTTGTCTTAATAGTAAAAGAATGATCACTCTTCTTTGCATTAATAGACATTTGTCTTAGTACTCAGAGGATGATTCGTCTCCTTAGGAGAAATTTTGACAGGCACTTTTCTAAATGAGTGAGTAATAATTCACATATTGATGCATTTGTAATGGTATTGAAGTTCCAAAGGAGTAAGGTAAAACCTTATAGTTTAGTGCTTTTTAATGAATAGATTTATTGTGCTAAATTTTCTTCTTCAATGGAGAGTACTACACAGAATTTCCACCTGAGTGTGTCATTCTGCTGCTCTGCAATCCTTGATTATCTAGAGTAATGAACTAACATTTGGTATTTTTATTTCCATTTAAACTTGTGGTTGAGATTCCATCAACGAAATGAGGATTTTTGCCTGTTGTTGTTAGGGTGCAATGTGCACTGCACTCCAGCTGGGGGGGATATATTCACTACTTTGCAGCTAAAATCTTTTCCCCTCCTAACAAACCCAGCCAGTAAAATCCACATGATCTGTTTAAGAAATAACAGAATTATAGTTTTATTATTAAGGCAAAGATCGGACAGGAGCTGGGATTGTTGATTGACTGATATCTTACAAAACCTCTTATCAAGAGTTGCTCCCTAGTGAAGCCAAGGCTATCAATAAAGACCAAAGAGGTTAATTTAAAGATGGATGGTGCTGCTTCTACAAAGTTGGCTGTGGGAGGCGTTTTCTCTCTGTTCCATACATTCAATATCAGCTGTGGCTAAAGACTTTATTTGTATTCCAGGATTAAGAATCCATGGGAATTGGTGAAGAATCCAATAGCGGATGTATGTGTAATGGAATACCACGCCTTAGAGACTCTTGATTAGATTTGTTCAAACAGTTAAATGGATTCCTCAAGAAGACATGAATAGCCAATATTTGCTGTGGATCTGGGTAATATCCCTATTTGGCAGTCCAAATTGAAACCATTTTTCTTATGAACTCATTCATGTTTTAGTACAAGGCCCTAAGCAAATAAGACCAAAAAACGTAGACTGCTCAATTCTAATGTCTTTTTAAATATTTTCTGGTAATACAGTATATTTTATTTTCCTTAATTACTATTGCATAAAGAAACATAAAGTATCACTGCTCAATAAGAAAGATGCATCAATTATTATTAAAACATATGATACAATACCTTGTAAAAGCCTAATTAAAATCAAAAGGGATCAGGAGTCTGTATTAACAGCAATAACTAAGCTTGTGTTTCAAAGATTCCATTTGTTTGAACAAATGTCAGTGTTCATGGATTGTCCTGGAGTCCCCCAGGAACAGAAGACTAATCTGCCTTCACCTGTAACAAGCAACACTGGAGGATTTGGGATCTCTAAAATTGGATTGAGGATTCATTCCAAGCTTTTTACTATTTTAATCACCATAAAAAAGGAACGTGTGACTTTCGAATGCTCACAAAATAGGGATACAGAGCTCAGAAAACGCCAGCCCTTTTGTTGTCAGTACTACCAATCTTTTGAAATGAAGGCAAATTTGGACAACTGAATAGAAGCCATTTGAAGTAAGCAATGTCTACATGTAAATTCATATTCTGGGTCAACAAAGTCAAGAAACTGACCTGCAAATAATGGTGTGGACTTTGATTTTGATGTGTATCAGTGTTTAAGAGTCCTAAACCACTGTGACAGCCTCTCTGAGAAAAAGAACATTAGGGCCATTCAATACCATAATAATATGTCATAACATTTATTTGTATGATTTTTCTGTATACACAAACCTGGGAGCTATGCAATGCCAGATTTCTTTATAACGCAATATATTGCAATTTAGGCTAAACCATTTTTAAAGAAGACACAGACGTTAAATTTAACTTTGTAATAAAATAAAATTAATAAAACATCTGATATCCACATGTTTAGCCATATTTGGGGAATTAACTAACATTTGGAAAACAGTGTTAAGGAAAATTAGTCATTGGCTGGATAATGGATACAAGTTTGTTAAGATACACAGTTCAGGATGTTTTCGCTTTTATTTTCAGTCAGCTGACTCAACACTATAATAATGCTTTATGGGGCTCTGCTCTAATGTTGATTAGTTTTGTATAATGCTGATTGCTTGTTTTGCTCCAAAATGGCACACTGTCAGGGAACACTTTGAAGGCATTTTGCAGCTCCATTCTATTTTTGATCTCCAGGAATATAGTTATTTAAGAAACCAAACATTTGTGTAGGTGAAGAACAATTATTTTATTTTTTGAGCACCTATATTTTCAATCCCTTTATTGTCATCATATTTCTCAAAACTGGAAACAGAGTCTGCCCTGGTTAAAATTTGCAACAATCCCTGTATGTGTTCAGTGTTGAAGTTGAGCTTGATTCCTGTTTTAATGTGGAGTTCAAATAAACTGATAAAGGAAATGCAATGCAAGACTTTTTGTGCTGCCAATATGTTAAAATGCAGCACCAAGAATCAATTATGCTTTTCCATGCTCCTATGTTAATCTGCATGATGGGAGAAAATCTTGACATTTTTGCTCAATCTCAAGAAAAAACGTATACCTTCAATATTATACATAATCGTGGATCATAATTTCATATTGATTATACTAAACAGGGACTGACAGTAATCCATAATACATAAATGCTAAGAAAACTATCCTGAGATAAAATCTGTTTTCTAAAAGTATGTAATGATAAGGAATTAAATACATCTGCAAAAAAATTAACATAACAATATTACAATTGTTGGATGGGAAGAATAGTAGATTAATTTTGAAATATGGATTCTCATTTCTCAAGTCACAAAGTAAAATCATAAATGTGCATTCTCCCAGTGCAAATTAATAAACTGTTTAGTTGTATGCAAGTGAAATATTTAATTGCATACCTTGCAGGCTCATTTATTCATTTAATTAAATTGGGAAACAACAGAAATGAGCACTGAAATTCTTATCAAGAACAATTCTATGATCTCTGCTTTTATGTACCTCATGTGGAGCATTGCACAGTCCTATTATAATAGAAAAATATGTTCATTTTGCCTAAGTCCATTTTTAAAAGTGCACTGATATTAAACATGTTCGGTTCCTGTCAGAGGATTTAAGGGAGGAAAAAAAGCTTGTGCAAGAAAGATAATGATCCTCAGCATTTAATATTTAGTTATATTATGTTTTTTAAAATAAAACACAATATGATGATGTAGAAATGGTCCCCCATTAAATTAAAAAGGACTGTAAATGTGATTCAACACAAACTTAAATTATTAATAAAGAATGAGTTGTGTGTGCTGTGAGTGCAGCAAACTGATTAAGGTTATAAATCAAGTATGTGAGAGGAATTTAGCAGTTCATGCATTAACAAACATCGACTATGGGTCTTTATTTCAGTGATCTATAACCTCTTTCAACTTACAAAGTCCCAGTGTTTCTTTATGTTTATTTCTGCTCATTGAACTCACACAAGATTGAGCTTGATTCTTTTTGCTTGTTGAAATCGAAGCCATTAGCAGGGCTGACTTTGACAATGTTAGAGGAGATGGGTTGCTGAAAAAATTCAAGTGTTAAAATCATTCAGGACACGTTTGTCTGTCGAGTGGGTGTTGTCTGAGCTGTGACAGATTTGTACCTCTGTTCCAAAATGTTATTTGCTGTACTGTTTAAAAAGTATTGACACTGAAATAGATGCAGGTTCATTGTGCGTGAGGGTTGCTGGATGCATTGATTTATTACCCTGCTGCTGCTGGTAATTGCAGTGCAGAAGACACAGAAATGATTAGCCCCTGAATTAATTCAGCAGTTTTAAAAACACTCAACAGTAGTTTAATTTCTGTTTTTTAACTTTCAACATTTTTCACCCTGAAGAGAAAACACTTTAGGTATTAATATTTCAAAGTAAATAAGTCTGACATGTCTTTTTTGACTTGATTGGTTCCTCCTTTGTACTGCAGTCCACGAAAACCACGAAAATATTATTTTTTTCCTTCAAATAAGCTGTAAGTGATTGCATTGCATTTTTTTTGTTAGTGAAGGTGTTTCTCTAAATGACAAAATCTTAAACTAATTGTGTCTGATGTCTTGCCTTTTTATAAAATGTTTTTTTTGTTTATTTATACAAGGCAGGTTTTCATGTAATGATAAGGAATTAAAAACACTTTTTGTTGGGTGCTTAGAAGCTAATTGATCTTAGGATCTCATCCAGCCCTATCTTGAAAGAAATCAGGGTATCAGCTCCAAGAACTCCCACACAACCCTTTGTATAAAAAGCGCCTCCTGTTTTCAATTTTAAATGCACAGTTCTGTGCTCTTGTTCATGTTTTGCTGTTGAGGCCTTTATTAATGCCTTTGAAGATTCTGAATGCCTTAATCAGGAACCTTCATAGACTTCACTGTTCAGGACTTTCAGTTCTATTCGGCTGTCTGAGCAGGACATCCCTTTAAGACTGGATATGTGTCTGGTCACACTTCTTTAGTGTGAAAAATGATTTTCTTTTTTGTCTTACAAAACCATACATAGAAAACCAGTATTTTAAATGAATGACGAAGCCTACTTCTCTCTAAGAATTCTAAATAAAATGCATACCTGCCTGCGTAAAACATATGCCGTTTTATAGTCGGAACTCACTCAGGCATCTCAAATACTGTAAATCTGCCTGTTTCTCCTCTCCAGTGAGCATTACAACTGCACAGTGTCTGCACTGGTGCAGCACTAGTATTACTGGATGCTGGAAATCACAGTTCTGCCAGCTTCTGCGGCTGTCAAAAGGACCAGGTGGAATCCAGAGCAGCCATTCTTTTTCTGAAGATCTTGCCCAATCGGATTGTGGAGGCCCCAAAAAAGAGGACATCTCAGAAAAAAAAAAACAGATGTACAGTATATGGCTTACAAGGACACTCTATTGGCACTCAGTACTTCCTCATTTCTTCAGACTTCCCATTAATCTGTGGCAAATAACAATCAGAGCAACAATGACGGAAAACCAGATGCAGACAGCGTCACGGATAGGAGGCCTGTTTGAGCTCTCCGAGTGTGAAGGATGACTGAGTGAAGACAGAGTTACCTTGTGGTGCCTTCTCCTCCTTCGGAAACGCAGCAGCTCCTTGTGTTGCCGTGCAATAAAATTCACAGCAGCGTATTCCAGCAGGGCAGAGAACACAAAAAGCAGGCACACTGCCATCCAGATGTCGATGGCTTTCACATAAGACACCTAGGCCAGAAACACAGAACACAGAACACAGTTATTGAAAAGCAACCAACACTGGCCCAATCTAGGCCTCCTGCTACACTGGTTCAATGACATTAACCATCACAGGAGACCTCTGGAGTGGGATGGAGTCAGGATGTGACAAACTGGTATCTTCTTTGTTAGCATCATTCATCCCTCCCATGATCTACACGGAATGTGCGATTCAGCTGTGCCTTTTTGTGTGCTTTTGTCTATGTCAGTGACCTCACTAAATACTAAATGGAATTACACAAAGTACAACTCGCAAAATAATGCTCAACCTACAAAAAGAACGGTTGGACTGAATAGCCTTTTCGTGATTTCCAAACTTTTAATTCTAACCCTATATCTGAGCTGCTGCTATGGCATGTAAAATGGGATTTTGGAAACAGAATACATGCTGATTGAAGCCAGTAAATTGTGCAACATTAACTGCAGCTGTGGTACTGTAAATGTAAATTTTGCAAAAATAAATTTTGCATATCACGTTTGTTCGTCAGATAAGTAAGCCCACGAATAACTTTCAGCTGAAATCTTTAAAGCACGACTGGCCGCTTTTGAATTGTAATCTGTAAAATGGTATATGTCCATTGAAGTCACAGCACTAAATATTTCATATGTGAGTTTAGCTCTCTCTCAGACCCCACTGCACAGTCATTCTGCTACAAAGAGCAGTGCATGCATCCGAGTTCAGCTGTGGATCATTATTGTGACAGCTCAACTGCAGATGTACCATGGGTCACTTGCTCAATTTTCAGAGCACAAGAATCACTCAACACCGACAGAAATAAATGGAGGGAAACATCAGATCTCTCATAATCCCAGAAACGCAATACTTATATTCACTCTCTCTAGTATAGGTAGTGTCACTCCTCTTCAAATCTAGTCTGATCACCAATATTGACAATAAGGAAGAAAAGATCCTGTTTGATGCAGGTATGATGCACTACATATTATGCCAAGTAGTGTAGGCACACCTTAGGCAGAGAAGCCCTGGAGCCGGAGCTCTGAGTGGTCATAGTGAGGACAGTGGTGATACCAAGGCCGACGCGAGCTGGAGCAGCATCCATATTAATCCAGAAGGATACCCAGGACAGGATGACAATCAGGAGACTGGGGATGTACATCTGAATCAGGTAGTAGCCCATTTGCCTCTCTAGATGGAAACGCGCCTCAATGCAAGTGAACTTCCCTGTAAAAACAAAGATATGCTGTAATTGCAACATGAACCACCATCCACCCATTCTCTACCATCCACCTAATACCGGGTTGAAGTGGAGTCCTAGCCTATTGCGGCAAACAGGCGCCAGGCAGCGTACATTCTGAATGGGATGCCAGTTCATTGGAGGGCACACACAGACACAAACATGCACGCCAATTTTACCAGGCCCAATTTTACGGAAGCTCATTAACCTACCAGCATGTCTGTGGACTGTGAATGGAAACCAGATCTAAATACGAACCTTATCCAAGGAAATCCTTGGTCACCTACTGAGGGCCTCTTACTTAAAAGTGAAAAGAGAGGACTTTTCTCAAAAGTGTAACACTTTTTTTTTAGTTGTGCTCTTCTTGTAAAAAATTCAGTTTCAAAACATATTAAAATAAAAGGAAAATATAGTGAGTCCTGCTGATGTATTGTAACCAAATATTTTTTATTATAATTCAGCTTTTACTGTAGTTTCCTCAATAAACACCCATACCCTAATTCAGCTTTTACTGTAGTTTCCTCAATAAACACCCATACCCTAAATCAAAGGTAAATTCCTATTCCTATTCCAATTCATTTTCAATTTGGCAGCTTCGTGCTGGGCAGTTTCCCAGAATTTTCTACTTGCAGTGAAATAACAAAACATAAACCTTTTCCAAGTCTAACCCTTTTGCAAGAGAAGGAATCCTCACATCTAGACAGATCTTTAAACAAGCCATTCTCCTTCTGAAATGAGATTAAAAAAGGTCTTACTGAAAGCCCATTTTTAAACTTGCTTTCAACAATGGTTTCCATCAAAATATGTAATGAGGTCAGATACTTCACTTTTCCCTTTGTCCGTAGGATACACGTAAAAACACATAGTCTGGCATAAAGCTAGGATAATGTTATATCTAATTTTGTTTAATAAATGTGTAGCCCGTGTTAATTTAAGCATTAGTAGGTTAAATACATTCAGCTATTTTCTATACAGGTATAAGCCAATGCTAGGATTATTTTCCATACCTTCAGCAGAATTATTATTTTAATTATAATAATTCTTTCATTATTTTTTAATATCTTTGTACCACAGATTTAGTTACAAGATCAATAAGAGTATTTTATACTCAGTGTAGGAATAATGTAAAGAAAAGTACACATTTTTGTGCGACACGATTGAGAGAAAGACGTCAGCATGTGTTGACACTTATTTTTCTTAGTCTCCGTTTCCTTCCGTTTTATGCCAAATGTTTGTCAAACAACATTTTATACACAGTGAAGTAAAATAAAGGTACAAAAAAATCTGTCTCTTCATAAATTTAACATACTTTGTAATTGATGCTGTATTGATATATATAGCTTCTATTTTTTTTTTAAGACACATTTAAGTCACTGCTTTATTCTGCTCACTATCAACAAAAAAGGGTGGCAGAGAGAAACTAGTTTTCCAGATAATCAGATTTGTCTCTGGAAAACAAATTACTGTGCTAATCTACAGCACAGCCACAATACACCAGCATAGTAATTAATATTCCAACATCATATAATTACTCCAAGGGGGGGAAAACACAAAGCAATTTCCTGTACAAGAGGGAATGGTGACTCCATTTTGTGGCAGCACAGCTGTAGGAAACATACCCAAGGAATTTTCACTTCATACCGCAAATAATTAAACTTAATAAAATTGCGAACAATGACATTTTAATGCTCTTCTGGTGCTCAGTAGAGATTCAGCAGAGCATGTTACACAGAGAAGGAACTAATGGAATGGCGGCTGCTTCAGACCAAGGTGTAGGGAAAACACAATTCAATGAAATGGGGCTCCTTACCGCTGAGTACCAGCTAGAAAAAAATCAAATATCATGTCAACAAGCTGGGACAGCCAATTGTGCAGCTCACAGCTCATTCTTCAGGGTTCACCTTTGTGTTCCTGAGCAAGATGTTTCCCTTCAAGACAAGCAATGACAAGTTCTGTCATTTGCAACTACAGGTAACGTACGTCTGTAAAAGTACAGTAAGTATTTTGTTTGTCGAGGTCATTGCTTGTAACAGCTCCTTTGCGGTATTTACCTGCATTTTTACAGTTTTGGAATTACACGAATATGAAGGCATTTGCAATGCTTCCTGTCATTTCTTATGTTTGCTGTTTATGCAATGTGCTGGAAATAATATTCCTGTGGGAAATCCAATTTTCAAGGACATGATATTGTTTCAAAATGATTGCACTACATATTTCATATTTCTTATGGAAACAAAAATGTAAACTGAAGCAAGAGTGGCCCTAGGATGTTCTGAATTAGAAATGTATGCCTGCTAAGTAATGTTCATTGGTAACACAATAGATTGAGAATAACGTTTTTCATTAAAAAAATTGGGCCTTCAGTTATTAATGACAAACACACTGAGGAAAATCTTTAATCGTATATTTTGGGCTTTATTTGCCTCTGGATTTGTTCTAAAGCTTTTTTTCCAAGAAAAAAAAGAACCAATCTGTTTTTTTTTTCCTGAATGCCTATTTTAGATATAAAATAAACTGGCCTTCAGCACTTTTAAGTTTTATTTGGAGTGTAACAATCCCAGATTGGTACAGTAGTTGGATGAACAGATGGTTTTCAGTTCAGTTGATCAGATGATGGAAGAACACAATATGGCCTGTGTCTTTCTCCCCCAAATTATTTAGTGACAATGTAGCAATCATTTGAGTGTTGATTTCTTTAAGACTCCATGTTGATTTTATTCTTTAGGAATTGATTCGCAAGTTACTCTTCAAAGTGTTGGGGGGTGGGGTGGGTTGTGTGACAAAGGATGGGAAATTAAAATTTAGTCTTTACTTTCTCTTTTTTTAAATAGATATATCTGTACAATCTGTGTAACTAAATTTATTACTGATTGGAGTTATCGTTGTTCGACAGAATTCGTTATTGAAGCTTATTTTAAAATCTAACTGTTTTAATTGTCTGTATCACATTATTTATCCATCCATTTATTTTCTGACGTCTTCTTCCTATTCGGGGTCATGGGAGAGCCAAAGCCGATCCCAGCAAGCAATGGGCGCATGGCAGGGTACACTCTGGATGGGACACCAGTCCTCCGCAAGGCAGACAGACACAAACAGAGACACGGACACACTCACACCAGGGCCAGTTTTCACAGAAGCCGATTATCTTACCAGCATGTCTTTGGACTGTGGGAGGAAACCAGAGCACCTGGAGGAAACCCACACAGACACGGGGCGAGCATGCAAACTCCACACACACAGCAACCAAGGTCTGAAATTTACCTAAGGGCCCGAGTGGTGCGAGGCAGAAATGCTAGCCACTGTGTCACCATACCACCCTCACATTACACATGATAGAACAGTAACTGACATTTTTAATTCATGATGTTAAGCCTCATTCCTAAAACGCACGTTGAACGAAAGCAAAGAAGCAAACCTGTGTTGTAGTGCTTGGTGCAGTCTCGCAAGTCTTTTTCTTCTTTCAAAATAAACTGAGGTAAAGTCAGCCCGTCTGCAACCTGCACCGCTCCCTTCTCATCCCATTCAAAGATTAGATCATTCATAGTGTATCCAACTAGCACAGGGAGACAGACAAAGACACAATGTATATAACAGCTGTGTGAAACAATCTTCACTCTTCTTCCCAGCTTTTGACATGAATAAAGCTGAATATTAAGAATATTAAGTTTAACATTTCATTTTTAAACGTAATAGAATGCTAAACAAGTTGTTAAACTACTTACTACTTACTACGGTGTAACATTTACATATTTATTCATGTTTTACTGTGGAACATGTACTGTAGAACACATTCAGTGTACAATGTTGTCTGTGTCTTTCAAACAGAGAAGGACCAGGCAGGGGAGACAAATATCATTTACAGTATGTGAACTTCTGTGTTCTCTGTAAACGTATGAAAGTACGTTAATGTACTGTAGTTAAATTGTCTGAACGTCTTATTATGAGAAATAATAGGAATATTTTAGTGCTTTGTTGACAATACTTTATTTTGAAAATATCTTAAATAGATATTAAGCAATTTTAAAATATTTTAAAAAGTAAGCATGATTGTTGCAGGGTACAAAATGCAAAAAATGGGATATGAGAATATTTTTATTAGTGTCTTTAATTTTTTATATTGCTTGACCTCTGCATGTACTTTTAAAATGAATTATGTCAATTTTATTGACACATTATCTGGTTACTTCATGTGTTGCATGGCTGAAATGATGCAGAGAATAAGAAAAATTTAGCAATTACTATATCTCAGGTTTTATATGTATATAGGAGGAATTATTATGAAAAAGGGTAACATTAAGTTTTCATAATGAGTTGCAAGCTACATTACATGAAAACTTCAAGTTTAATTCTTGAATATTTTGTTACCCTATTAAGTAATAATGATTTTCCCCTTTTATATCAGTTGCTAAGTAAGTGTAAGTCATTTTCTTAGATATAAGATAATTTGATAATTTTAGAAATAAAAATACCAATAAAACTAAGTTAAAAATATATTAAAGAAGGCATATATGTATAAATGAAAATTAAGCCATATTTATAGGTTCAACAGCCTAAAAGACACATGCTCATATTCTCTTTGAGATAAGGGGCAGAGCTGTTAGAAAATATTAGAAAACATTGCACACCAAAACAAGTAATGCCCCATGTCTATCCATGTACACTGTCTTGCTGGTTCTGGTTTCTGTATTTATAATGTCTGAAACTCTGTTTTTTCCTACAGAGCTGGCAGCCTAGAATGTTTTGAGGAATAAATCAACTCTCAGATCCCTAAAATACTAACAACTGTTTTCAGTCCTACTGCATGCCTTTACATTGTTAGTTTATTCCTTTCATTTTTTGAATACGATTAAGCTAATAAAAGAGGAAAGCAAATAATGTTAACAATGCTAAACGCTTTCCAGCAATATCAGCCTCGGAGTACAAATTACATATTTCAGATGTGAAAGCAATTTTCATTCACTGCATTATAGGCACAAAACAACTGAGAATATCAGCCTGATTTTCAAAAGACGCAAAACAAGACCAAGAATTCTTATTACTTTTATTAAGCCAGATTGAAGTAAATCATTTTATGTTGATACTTTAAACAGAATGAAGATGAATAAACAATGTTTGCATAAAAAGATTTGAAAATAAAATGAAATATGTGGTAACGAAAATTAGGCTTTTCAAATCATTTTCAGACTTGTTTTTTCTTCCTCAAGAAAATCAGGCTAGTGGCGAATCTCTTGACAGTCTAAAAATGAAAACCTGTGTTTCAATCAACCTGAGCTCTCATGAATAGAAGCTTACATTTCTTTCTACCTATAGAGTCATGTTTAACAGTAAGAGATTATTTTCTTTCCAATAATTATATTTCTAGCAGATTCATATAAAAGTAAAAAACTGTGAGTCTAAAGGAAGATTTTTCTTTTTTCTAACAGATCTTTCATGTTCAGGAAATTGCCCTCAGAGCCACTGCTTTAACAATAAAACAGGCTAAACAGTTTCAAGGAATTGGGATTAGAAGATCTTATAAAAACAAAGGCCTGAAAACAAGATGACAACAGCTAAAAAAAAAGCAAAGCTTTCTAAAGCAAATCTCAGTCTAATGGTGCATCTGTTTGAAACTGCTCTAACTTCATTGCACTCTACATCATCCTGTCTTTCAGATAAACTGCACATACATCTCATATAAAGAAATAAAGAACCTGCCCCTGCTTTAAGGATAATGGAATACTCACAGCTCTCCAGCTGCATGATACAGGTCTGCACATCCATGGGGAAATTCTTCAAGTCCATGGGGCAGGCAAGGATCAGTGTTATTCTGACAACAACAGGTTTTTCAGTCAGGTATCAAGAACTGACTAGGACCTTATCAAAACTCAGAGATCTTATCACTATACCAGAGATATACAATACCCAGCCACTACAGAATACAACTAAACACATTGTCTTTTTATTTACCAAGCACATTTAGGTATTCACACACTCACCCGCAGAGTTATGATATTTACTTTATAGATATTACTTTCAGAAATGAATGCGTGAATTGGGTTCTCATTATATGCTTGCACAGTTAATAATGAGCATAAAACAAACAACACAGATAATGTAAAAACAGACAGCATTTTGAAACCTTTACCTGCTGTCATTTGATGGGTTTAAAAAATCCATTCTAAAAAATATCTTTCAAATAAAGACAAAAGATACTGCTATACAAACTGGCATTTGTTATAACAGCACACTTAGAAAGGCAATGTCGTTTTTACCTCTGACCTATGGTAATCTAAAAAATAATTTTAAAAAGTTATTTAGCTGTTTGTTTTTCACATTTCACTTCAGAGTAACGAAAATGGTGTCATTAAGCAAAATGATTATTGTCCTTAACTCCGGTTGTGATGAATATAGAGCCAGTAATGAGGGTGAGGCATCTGTGTCAAAGACATTTCACAGCTGTCAGCAGCAAATGCACTCTCACACACTGCAGATTCAAATAATAGCCTCCACTCCATTGAGAGAGAGACACTTTTGTAAGCAATTTCAGTTTTTACAAACAAATGATCCATGCCATTACACTAGACCTGAAACAGACTTGTATAGTAAGTCAGTGGTGTTCATATTTAAAATTCTTGACAGAGATTCATCTAGATTTGGAGGCTGTGGCTGTAATGAGACAGCACCAATACTCCGTCTTTGTTAAGCTTCCTCATAATGACTGCTGTGAAATATATTTGCAATACCTCCGACCTAAAGGGTTTGAATTGTATAATATGAGCCTGTGCTTAACACACTATGATGGTAATGAAGGTTAATTATCATAATATGTACAGTATAGTATTTAGTGACACGTTATCTTTATTATTATTAATAGCAGAATGAGTAGCAGGATACAGGTTATTATTTTTTATAATATAAAATTAACTATATATATTTAAAGGGAGTAAACATTAGGAAAAGCTCTAATTATGACAGGAACAAGAGAAGACATATTACTCCTTTAGAGTGCATTAATGTCAAAATTACTATTGAATACACAAGCAACAATAATTGAAAAAGAGTACAAGGACTATCATTGGGTTTCTTACCATAAACTCCTACAGCGTAAATGTAATTATAAAATGACTGCATGCATTAATATTAAAGATTACATTCAGCTGCTGGTTAACACATCCTCTGTCTGGATTCTGAAACAAAGGAAAAGCTTTCTGGACTTGAACATTTTCACATACAGTACACACTCTGCACTGATAGCATCACTCTGCCAGGGCCAGATAAAGCTGTGATTTATGAGCATTTTTCGATCAAACTGTATACTGCAGCCAGCTCGATTTTAACGGCAGTCCATGGAAAAGAGAGAACTGATCTATGGGATCTGTGTGATAATATCAAGCAAAGGGGAATGAAAGTCTCATTTTTTCCTTATCGGTTACACTAGGTTGTTCAGAAGGAAATATTAAATACACCACAGCTGGTTTGAGTGTATTTATATCTTGGTAGAAGTGGGATATGTTGTCAGCAGAATGTAAAAGTAAACATACCCTTGTAAACAGATTCCTTTCCCTTCCGTATTGTGTGTATTAGTGATGGTAACACTATGAAGGAATGGTTTCATGCTGTGAAATAAGCTAAACAAGGGCTTCATTCAACTGAAGTCAAATCACAGTTTGGTTAAAGCTCAGCGGAAAAAGATAAAAAATATTTTATCCTTATATTTTCAAATTATTTCCTTTTAAATTTACAGTACGTTCATGACCAAGGTAAATAGATAAATAAACATGCTTATTTTGTAAAACGAAGAATGATTTAAATTATAAGATGATTTGCATACCTTTTTTAATAAAAAGATATGCATTTTTACAATTCACATCTAGAATCTCTTGAGGCCAATAGAATTTCCCAGTTGTAAAGTTTCCATTTGTAAGTGCTCCTGTTTTACAGAATAATCCTAACAGACAGTGTTTTCTCCAAAGTGCAGAAAGACAGTGGCTTACCTGATACTATAAAGCACGTTTCCATTTTTTGAGATTCGGAGTAGCTTGTTGTCTGTTGTAACTTCATGGAAATTGGCTCCCTTTTCATTGGCGAAAAACAAATCTGGTTTCCAAATGGAATCCAACATAGACGGGTCCAGATCCAAAGAATCATCAGGATATTCGCTGTAAGCCAACCGGGGATCATTCCACTGCTGTCTCAGGAAAATATTGACTCTGTAATCCTGACATTGTGAACCAAAGCAATGGGAGAGTTACTACCAAAAACAGGTCCTGTAAGTAATAACTTTTGTTAGTGCTATTATGTGAACACAATTTCTTTTCCCGGGACAACAGATTCAAGGAATCAATCTTTTTGCTTTCCACGTTTTTGCTGCCCTTCTTCAACTTTTTTGACTTTGTTACCACTCCCCAGTAAATAGAGCAGCTTCATTTGAAGTGGTGCTTCAAGTCCTTAGAGGCTTTGGGACAATATATACCTTAGTGTTCCAGAATCAATATTAACACCCACACCACGACAGTCAATAGCAAGGTCTCTACTGGAATGCTTGTCATTTAGAAAACATACCTTGAGGTTTCTAATATCACATTCTGAGAGTCTGGTCTTCTGCCCTGACTGCTTCTATGATCATCAGCATTGGTTTTCCGTAGTCTTCTCAACCCAAGATGACACATGGATTCAGGCACCAATTTGTCACATGCAGTTGCCATCACTGGCTAAAACCTTGATTTCTGTTAAATATACCTCATTACGTGATAGATCCTTCTCACTAGCCATGGTTTTCATCACAAATGTATCACACAATAATCATAACACCATTTAGAGTCCTTATGCCAGTGTGGCACTTTATGATTAATAGCAACCCTTCACTGTCCTATGGTGCACTTGATTTTTATTACATACTAAAATTTTATAGCAATTATTTTTCTCTCTTTCATCAATTCTTTCCAAAACTGGAGGCAAAAGGATATATAAATAGAGCCTTTTCTTCCGTAGACTACATGTGATCTTTAAAGTAAATCAGAGAATACATACTGTATAATTCCCACAAAAGGGAAAAGCCATTCATAAAACTGGACTGCAATATGACATGCATGGTATGATTGTCCAGCAGCACTGAATAATGAATTCCTGTCAGACCGATGATTAATACTGTTCTCAGAAACGTGCATATAAAACTATTTCATCATTTGATAAAGATCACATAGCCTTCTGGAAAATAATGTGTTACATAGTTTAAAAGATCTCCTTTTCAAGAAAACTGCAGAATTAAATGAAAACCTGAAACTGAAAGGCTAATCAGGGACATTATCATCTAAGCCTATTCAAGACAAGCTGTACTATGTTTATCTGATTCATCTCAAAATGTTAAAAGTCCCATGACATAAACAGAATCTGGATGACACATTAAGTAATTACCCATGTATAAATCATTAAGATCACAATTAATTCTATCAGACACCCATTGGTAGACATCCATGTACTATAGTATTACATGATCTCTCTTCCTTTTTGCCAGTCTGATTTAAAACCACAATCATTTTCTTCAGGAAATGCGAGATTTCACTTTTTTGTTGAACATCGTTAGCAGCTAAGGCACTAATACAGTAACTCTCAGTAGTATTCTGATATATTTCCTAATTAATGTTGACAAAAGAAGACCCTGAGTTGACCACCATTTTAGTTTTTTTTTGACACATGTGGTTAAAGTGTGATTAGTCAAGACTTTGGTCGGCTATATACTGTACATTTTAGGCATTATACATTTTGTGAGCACAAAGATGCAACATTTCATTAAGTATACTGTATTATCGTGGAGTTACATCTACAATGGAATCCTCTACAGACAAGGAGGCTACTAATATATTTTTGCACTAAAAGAGTATTGGAATCAACCTCGCTCTATAAAATACATTTCTATACCTTAATAGTGTTCTGCAAGGTTGCAGTAGAAATATTTACCAAACAAACCATTCATTTACTTACCAGGCTCTGTTGGAAATTATGGAAGAGTCAATATTTCATATTTATCAATATAAACATATATATTCATATTTTCCACCCAGTTTAATAGATGAACAGACAGATGTGTGACAATGGCTCATAATGTGATTCAAGCCGAAGGCCAAAGCTGCTCCTGACTGCGATAGATTTAAAAAGTTTGCAGCTCTTGTGACTGGAGAGACTAACTCTGGTGACAAATGGCAGGGCTGCTAATGTTCTCCCTCAGAGCTTGGGATTTATGCCTTAGCTCTCACCTGTCCTCTGGGAAATGAAAGACCAGCAAGCTAATTAAATAGCTGGTTTTGTCTCTCCTGGGCCTCATATCTTTAAAACAGAGTAAACAATTAGGACAGCAGGAGGCCAGGAGGATACCTCGGTCCTGGCAGGGCAGTGAGCCTGTTAAACCTTTGGTTGCTGAAACACCATCCTCAGCAGTGCTCCTCAACAGCCTGATAAGTGCTAAAGATTTATTGAACTATTCCTCCCCTGCACAATCACTGCTGCCGTTTTGTTCCAGATTGAATGAAAGCGCTGGCAACTTGGATCAATTCCACCAGTTGTAGCGAGGAAAAAGGGTGGAAAATGTGGCATTTGTTCTGCATGAAGTAATTCTGCAGGCGGCAGCAGTTTTGAGACAGCTCTGCCGATGCGTAGCATGAATGCTGGGTTTGACTGGTGTCCCCCTTTCATCTTAATTTGTGTTGTTCTTCTAAACATGCTCTTGAGTCAGTCATTAGGATTATCAGATGGTTCCTGGTTGAGTTGAACAGTTCTGGGCCGTTCAGGATATTAACTTTTATTGTCGGGATCATGTCTGTTCGTGTTTGTGTGATTCTGCCAGTTTTTAGAGAAACATTGTGGATGTGAGCATGAAATGTTTACAGTAATGTTAAGCTGAATCCGATTAACTGCTAAATAAAATTATTACTGTGGTTTATGGTCAGTACGGTCGTGCACTACACTAACATCTTTTTCAACAGCAAACCTTGTTACTGAGATCTAAGATCTGTTTTGTTCATCAATCCATTAAATAAAGATATCAAGTACAGAAAATTAAAAATAACTAGGTTTTGAATATAGGCACTAAATTTGTTCTAGTCTAATACTAATATTTCACTACATTTAATTTTTTATTTGTTTAATGAGAATCAGGTCATAAGGAGAGATACAGTATGACTATCTAGCATGTATCAGCTCAGGTGAATTGAGCAATCGCAGTCTAGAATATATATCCAAAAAAAGAATTGTGAAAATGAATTAAACATTTTACTCTTCATAAGATTATGTAATGCACTTTTTAAGTGGATTACTTTCTTTAGAAAAGCCTTAACTGCACTGGCTTCATTCCCTCCTGTTAAATTTTAATCACGTGCATGTTTACTAAAACTGTCCACTACCATTTCTTTCAGTAGCATTTATCCTTTGAGTGCCTACATTAAAGGCATGAGGAAAAAAAACCTTTCTGCGTAGTTAATTTTATCCAGTACTTCATGTAAAAAGGATAATGAAAATAAAACAAACTACGACTTTTCATGTTATCTATATTTCCCTTCCAGTCCTTTAATAGACACAGTGAATGTATCTTCAGTGATCCACATTATCTATGTTTTTTCATGTGAATTCCTTTTAAACTTAGGTTGTGTTATCAAAACTCTTAAACTCTTCAAATAAGGATGCAAGGTGCTTCTCACTGAATGTTACAGGTGCTAAATGTTTTCCTTTATCAATATCTCAAGCAGTTTATAGGAGACACTGGTGACTAGAGCAGAGTCAGATGTCTGATAGAATACTGACATAAATGTACTGTATATTGTTGTGCATTTATTTTTGCTAGATGCTGACCGTACCTAACAGAACAGAGATGAACTAGAAGGACTGTATAATAATCACACCTACTGTATACCATTTTTAAAACTTTGGTTAATATTGAAATAATCCTATTTTCAGAGGACAAAGAAGATGTTTTCAAGTTGGGATCCAGAGAACATTCAGCGACTGCTAATTGAATTTTAAAGGGAGTTATGTCAATGCAAAATAAAGACCAAAAATACAGAACAGGATGTATTCAAAGGATGGAGTCAAATACTGAAAAATTATGAAGGAATCAGAATTTTTAAAGTGACAATGCCACCTACTAACTAAAATGGGACAACAACAACTGAAGTGGGAATTGAATAGTGTTAGGGTTCAAGTCTCCAGCCCCACAGGCTAGCAACCCCTCTGAGAACTGGCTCTTCCACTACAAGATAAAAAAAACCTTTGGGATTAGAATGCACTTACCATGGTCGTTTCAGCGATGGAACCAAAACTGTTGATAAAGATGTTGCATGTAACATTTACAGGGGGACCTGTGAAAACACACAAAGTCACAAAACATTATAGATGTCTGAACATTCTACAGCACAAATGTATTGCTTGTATGGTTATATACTGTATGCGGTATATAACCTTATATGTGATATATTAGGACAGGGGTTGGCCACCTTTTTGTACTGCTTGCTACTTTTTCTGCCGTTCTGACGCATGCCACGTACTGTTATCAGCTGGTAATATCACAAACCAGCAGATCACAAACACACCTTTAATTAAGAACCAATATTCATTTTTTAACTACCTATCTACAGCACATCGCCAACAGAGTCACATACAGTATACGGCGCTGAACACGTCTTTCTGAGAGAGGTACATCTCTAATTTAAGTCAAAATCATTTAAGCCATACTGTACATATCACACTTACAGATGAGTTTTGTTTTTAATAGCCCAGAGGCTATTAGTTTACGTCCCAGCAAAGATGCTACCAGCCTAGCTTTTGACCATCTGGCTTACGTGTAGCGCACCAAGCAACCATGATGTCATTCTCATCTCTCAGTTCGCCGTCACGTCATACAGTAGGTACATTAGCGCTTCCTCTTTTCCCAGGGTTATGTAGTGCAGTTCAGTATCGAGTATGCTGCAGATCAGCATCCACAAAAAAAAAATCCAAAGTTTTTGGTTGTATTACGCGTGCCATAGACAAATGTCACAGGTTGACCCCTGTACTAGCACATTCAGGAGCAACCACCCATATTTGTTTTGGATATATTGAACAAATAGTAAGGGCTCCATAATGGAGACACTTCTGTAGTAATGCTGTAATGTTACAACTGTAAATAGGAGTAACTGTATACAAGGAAAAAATTAAAATGAAGTCTGAATCTATAGAGCTATGGTTCCACCCTAAGACTTTGCTCTTGATAAAAGGGGTAGGCCATACCAGCTGATGTCATACATGTCATTCTTGAGTGAAATGGAGTGGCTAGAATCTCAGTGCGAGTAGTGAGCAATCCACTCTAATGAAACTGATCTCAAAACATAATTAAGTACCAGAATCAAAAAAGCAGATTGTAGCTAATCATAATCAAAATATTCCAGATAATAATATGGGGGAACCCACAGTATGGGTGTTCAATTGCAGGAGCATTTAAAGATACGCATCACCGCCCAATACTGATATGTTGATCTCTTAATTACTTGATAATATAAATGCAAAACAATTTTAAACAATAATAATAAAAAACAACCACACCCAAACCTTATTTTTATTTATTTCTTGAGATAGAAAGTTAGCTGATTCTGTTGAAAAAAATCTAAGCATAGTATGCAGCTTTACTTTATGTGTCAGGAGGATGCAAAGACGTGTTTAAATCATTAGGGTTTCCTATCTATCAAAGCTGGCGTAGGAGGGGAAATGAGCTGGAAGCTTGTGGGCCAGGTCCAGTGAACATTAGTTTCTAATATCTCAAAATCACCACATTATTCCTGAAGCTTACACACCTTAAAAGCTTGATTGCAGATGAGCTACCAGAGATTAATGAGCATGAAGAACAAACTACCTCCCAAATCCCAAAATGGCCAGTTTCTCAAAAGCAGCAGAAATGCATTTAGCTTGTGCTGTGGGTGGAAGGCTTGTATAGCCTCCACAGTTCCTCATTTGCTCAATAGATACACAGAGGAGTTCACTTTCTGGGGCTGCACCTTGCAACACCATTAAAAATACCTTAATCCTATTGGGTATTCTTGATTAAGTGCTGTACATACCATTTCGTTGTAACAGCAGAATGAAATTGTGTGAAGGTGCTGAATAGGTAAAACAGGACCCTTTACAGGAGTATAGAGCAGACAGCTCCTGGTTAGAGTCTCAGAAAACAAGGAGCTGTGGTGCTGGTTTCACTGAGATGGCATTAAAAAAACAAAATTCAGCCACATATACGCCAGCAAAGCATTCTAAAAAATAATGGCTTGAACTGTATATTTCAAGATGCAACATAAAGGAAAACGTCTGCTCCTTAACCTGTGCTTAAATAAAATAATAGATGTTTTTCATTTCTGTGACACCTTGCTTTAATATCCAAGCAATAATAATAGTTGATACTACTGTAGATATATATAGTTTTTAATGCAATTTTACTTTTCATATCTTAAAATTATGTAAAAAATCAGTATCCAAGTAGAGAAAAAGCACTAAATATGATCAGCTTTCCCTGAAAGGTTTCTTTTTAAAGCTGCCCATGAATAAAGACCATTTGCTTTTGCTGGGATTTCTACTGAAAATACCATTCCTCTTTTTAAAAGAGCAGACAGATTGCAAATACGATTGAGATGATTAATTTGTTCAGGCAACCTACTCTCGTGAACGGATATCTATATGAAAAGGAATCATTGAATAATAGTTAAATAAAAGATTGCTCAGATACTGGTAGCGTACACTAGCAAAAGACATTTCTGCAAAGTGAAGCCAATTCTTAATGTAGAATTTATTTCTATGAACAGATGGGACATCCCACTATGCTTCTTTTGTTCTGTTTTTCTTGAGGACATTTTTTACAGAGGACGCAGGGTAAATTAATATAATAATTTATCTTTTCCTGACATCCATTTGTGTGTGACGTAAAACAAGGGAAATTGAATGTCCTCTCGCCCACTGTAACTCTCTTCACATTTTTGCAGTAAGGAGGAAAGAAAAAGAGCTCATTAGCCGCAGTCACAGGGTGACTCATCACACCAAATCACTTCGCTTTTCCTTGTTATGCCACACAATATAGTGCCAGGAAGTAAAGCAGTCACAAGGGATGTAAAGAGTTTCACAAGGAAGATTCTTCTATTATAGATATATAATTCTGTCTTTTCGAGCAATGTCTTAATTGTTTTGCTGTGTCACTTCCCTGACACTATATTGATCTATTATGTGTGGGTCACTGCTTGAACCATTCCAAACACATTCATCAGGTCAGCAGGTGCACAAGCACCAGTGCACTCTTATAAAACTTTACCAGAGTATATCCTTGTAAAACAGAGTTAGACGTAGAAATGTGCAGATGTACAGTAGCAAACTGGTGGTGAAAGATACCACTGTAAAATATAATGTTTACAGTGTTCCTGAAATGACATGGGATTTGATTACTTAAAGTAACAATGATGTAAACAACAGGCCCACACTGCATTTCAGCCATTAACTTTCAGAAGCTACAGAGACTTTCAGGCATTTGCTTCAAATTTTGACCCACCCAAAAAGTTCAAATAATAAACCCTCCATAGACCAGAGGATGCTTCCTTCAGCTCAGCTGAAACCTGTTGTTGAATGTTTTAATTGGAAGGCTAAACATTCTGAAACCTTAAGCTTTAATGGAAATGCTTCAGAAAGATCAAAATTCCAGTGCTGAACCTATAAAGCTCTGAATTCCTCAGAACTATGACAGCATTGCTGTTATTTGCAGTAGACATGAACAACAAACGGTAATTGCATCAGGAATTTCAACCAAAGACCTGGGCTGCAGTTTAAAACAGCTATAGAAGTTATACCTTAGATGTAAGTTCAACACATGGACAAAGAACAGAATAACAAGAGCCTCCAGCCCCTGAAAATCCTTTTCTTTATAGTTTTCATTCTGTTTGTTTATGATTTAATATGAAACTCCTTCAACTGCTGCATTTTAATGACTCCCCTTTTTAATGTGAAGTGGAAAGTGATTTATTGTGAAGCAGAGGGTCTTCGATAGGCCCCGAAGTAGGGGGGTGGGAGAAGAATTTCATGAAATAAATCAAAAAATTAAATTATATTGAATACATTTACAGTACAGCTGCCTTCAGCACAACTACAATGACTTTCAGGCATTAAATATTTATGCCATTCTGTCGGTATCTATAAGGCGATGCCAAAGTCGTTTCTCCTTTTATTGCACTGATATATATTCCACACATGCACAGGAAAGTGAAATTAATTTTGAACCTACAAGCATGGGGGCAAAGGCATGGCAGATGTTAACCCTTGGAATACCTGCTCTACAATATTTAATCTTGAAAGTGGCACTGCTCAGGTTTATCAGCAAAACCTGTTTCTTTAACCTTCCAATTTTCTGTGTGATGAGTTAAAAACTTGCTAATTAAAAACTTGGGAATGGCAATACACTCTATATTTAACTGCTATATTTACTGAGCATCACAGCAGAGTTCTGCAGCACTAATATACCTAAGCATAGCCACGATTGCTAAAAATCAGGAAAGTAATCTGAACACACACAAATGAAAAACACACTGAGGCTCAAAGATGTTTCTTTTTCAATGGTCAACTTTTTTTTATTTATATTATGCAAAAGAACTACTGTTCTCAGTGTCAAAATGTGAAAAATGTGTTGCTACCCCTCAGCAAAAGATTTATTTTAAACTTCTTAGTACTTTTATATAAATAATAATAAAAAATCAAAGTCTGTTGATAGACTACGACTGAAAGAACTATAAATGCTCACTGCTTTCTGAGCTCAGCTGTTCAATAATTCCATCTGGTCTTGCAATTTTAGGAATATTATCCAGTTCCTTGTCGGGGATGCTTTTTCCAGATGGACATTGCTGTGAACACAGTGAAATACCTATGCAATGTTCTATTTTGTGTTAATTCCATTTGTAATGTAGACCTTGCCATAAGAAAAAAGTCAGATGCTCTACAGGGGTCAGTAATCATTATCATTCCTTTAGGGACTACCAGAAGTGGAAGAACAGCTTTCGAATTTTGCACTGTCCTACTGCAATGCTCATGTCAGCATGCAATGATGTAACAAATACTAACCTTCCAGTTCATTACCAAAGACGTAATGCTGTTGGGAACTATTGCCATCACTCAGAGCTCTCAATAATGAAAGAATGTGGCCTTCGGTAATGCACAGATCTACAAAATACACAAATCTAATACACGATATGAAGAATAAACAGGTACTTTATCTTCTATGCTTGATTTTGGTCAAGAAACACAATTTTATCAACACAGCTAAGGGCATTCAGTGATAATATGACAACTAAAGATGGTATTTTTATCT